GTTGTTGTGGGGATAAGACGGAGGAGGAGAATGATGTAAGCTGCCTTGAGCCCTTTGTAGGAAAAAGGCAGCTTACATCATTCTCCTCCTCCGTCTTATCCCCACAACAACAACCCTGTGAGGTAGGTTGGGCTGAGAGTCTGTGACTGGCCCAAAGTCACCCAGTTGGCTCCATGGCTGAGCGGGGACTAGAACCCGGATCCTCTGAGTCCCAATCCCATGCTCTTAACCACTACACCACACTGGTTTTTGGAAAAGATGCTCTCCTACTTGCAAGTGCAGTTGCATTCGTGGTATATATGCATGATTTGCAAACATGAATGAATTTCTTGCACTCACCCAGCATGGAGCCCCCTCCATGGGATTTAGTTGCGGAAGGAGCTATAATGGTGTCCTCACTGAAGTTTGGATTAACAATCCATAACCACAGGCTAATAATCCACTGGGCACATATATATCCATGCAAAACCAAGGAACTGAAGGGAATTGGTGAGGGAAAAGGTAGGTACGAGGGATTCCTCAGGTGCAATTTTGGCTTATTTCATTCTGGTGGGCCCATATAATGTTTGAAGCTTTACTGAGAAGAGACCATGCTGCTTCTGCCCTGGGATCATGTGCTGCTTGTCTGTCCTCTGCCACTTGGAAGCATAACTTGCAATTGGGTAATTGGTGCATGTGTGAATATATACCGGTACATTTCATTCCCCCACCCCTTGGACTGTAGACTGCCACGCTGGTGGCTTTTTCTCTCCCTGCAGGTTCAGACCACCACCATGTGCATCTCCGTTAGCCTCAGCGGCACCGTGGTCCTTGGTTGCCTCTTTGCACCCAAGATGCACATCATCCTCTTCCAGCCGCAGAAGAATGTAGCGAGCCATCGTGTTTCCACCAACCGTTTCAGTGTGACAGCTGCAGGCTCCAGTCACTCCCAGGGTGAGTGGCAGAGAATCCTCTTAAGCAATCCTCTCAAGGGTTGTACCTCCCGCTGTGTGACTGACAGCACCTTTCAGTCATTCAGCAAGTCTGCCTACAAGAGGAGTTTGCTCTGGGTCACTCTGAGCTGAAGTTTCTTTGACCAACTGGTGTAACTGAAACTGCATTAAGCATCAGGGAAGTGCTGTGCGGCAGTGATGGTGGGAGGTCAAGTTGTACTTGTTCTGAAGAGGAGCAAATGTTCAGTTCAGTACAAAAGAGAAGCAATGTTGGCCACTAGTCAATGATCGCATTAGGAGGACAATCCACAGCTACCTGAGGCTTCTGCGTGTGCCTTTTCCTGTCTGCTGCTTCCTCTGATGGAGTTCAGGAGCTTTTGCTTCTGTTTTAGACTTGGACTAATTGCAGCTTGTTGTGACATCCAAGCCTGGGCAAATTGTGATTAGTCTTAGTTAATGGAAGCAAGCCAGCTGCAAGCCGTAATTTACAAAATCAGCTTGTTTTCACTTACATGTTTAAGATTAGTAATAGTTTAGAGTTCAGTTGTGAGACTAAACTGTAGCAAACCTAAAATGGAGGCAGAAGCTTCCAGTTGCCTTATTCCAGCTGCTCCAGAAGAGGAAAGGGGAGGAAAGTGCAGGGGTCCAGGGCTCACTGGAGCTGGTCCTCATAGCCCTACTTCAGTGTTAAGAGCAAACTGGGCCACTGTGATTGCCATAGATTGACAAAATTTACCTCTAACTGAGCATTCCTCCTCTGGCCTATGTTTATTTTCACAGGACAAAAGGTGTCTAAGGGACACATTTAGTTCACAAACTTGTCCATCAAGTCTAGAATTTTCTCTCTCTCTCCAGATCTCCAGATTTCTCTCTTGACCAGATCCACTGAGAAACATACAGGCAATAAGACTAAAGGCAACATTATGTGTATAGTTATACCAACAAACAACAAATCAAAGACCTAGATCAGCCGTCCTCAACTTAATGCTCTCCTGGAATTTTGGGCCAGAGCTCTCAGCATTAATGAGCCCTGGCCATGTTGGCTGGGTCTGACAGGAGCTGAGCTCCAATAGTTCTGGAAAGCATCAGGATGGGAAAGGCTGCAGAGAGCTTTGGCTATTGTGCTGTACAGAAATTAATTAAGATCTTGAGGCAACTCTGAAAATAAATGTTTGGCAGACAGGCTGTGTTGAATGGAAACTCAGTTGCACCAGACGGAATGACTGATGGTAGTTTTCAGATGGTCCCATTTAGGACTGAAAGTTACAGCTCTTTGAAACGTTCTCTCATTCTTTTTCCCACAGGGTCATCTTCTCAATATGTCCCAACAGTGTGTAATGGTCGTGAAGTAGTGGACTCCACAACATCCTCCTTGTGAACACCCCTGTGTTTGCCATCGTTGGCTGTGTTTTGCCTCTGTGCTCACTTCCTATGAACACATGCCTTTTTCTTTCCCACAAGGCCTTTTGTTCCCTAAAACCAACCAACCAACCAAACAAACCTGTTTTCCGGACCCACTTGTTGACTAAGCTTTTCCCAAGGAAAGGATATAGGCAAGTAAGAACTGAGACCAACCCTTTACCCCCAACATCCAGCATCCTGTCAAAGATGCAGTAAAACTTGGGCATTCTTGAGAATCTAACTGTAAAGTGGCCCATTAGAATATGGATATAAGATTGAACAAAATGGATTCCCCATCTGATGGCTTGGGCAACAAGACAATATTGTATCAAGTATCTATACATGTATCCATCTTCCTCTTCCTCCACCACACTTGAAAAGGAATGACAAAACTCCGTGTCATTCCACATCCCCTCAAACTTTTCCTCAACATACAATATTTCTGCTATTAGAGGAAAGAGGAAGATCAATAGTCACAACCTTCAAGAGAATGCCAAGGACTCCACGGTGCTATGAGCTGAAGAGGTGGGATCTCCTCACATTCAAAGCTTGGTAGCACACACAGGTGCTTGCAATGACTCAGAACTTCAGTAGCTGCATTCGTATGCCTGTCGATTGTTTTGCACACTTAGTCTACAAAAGAGGCTTCCTGGAATGAGTGAAAGAATAACCCTAAGCTAGTAACCAAGAAGGAAGGCAGAACCACACCTGTTTTTCAACCTCACAGAATGATGAGCTCCAGGCTGCTCTGCCAAACAAAGCAGTTGAGGGTTGGGGGAACCACCACCCGAAAATCCCACCATTAGCCCTAACAACAATAGGTGCTATTTTGGGGGGATTGCTGGCAATAATAGCAGGAAAAGTGAAGAGGCAATTCTTTGTGAAGTAAAAAGGTATCTCCGTGTTGCCAGGAAGATGTAAGAATTTAAACCAAAGTCTCCGAAGAGTTTCTGTGTCTCCTTCCCTCCACCCTCCCTGTTGAGGACATGTAGGAAGAAGGTGGCTTTGGGTAAGCAGAAGGCAATTTGAAGGGAGAGCTCGTGACAGATCAGGTAACAGTAATAATGTGAGGTGATATCTTCATTTGAAGCTGAATGGAGGAAGAACAGTTGCCAACATACACCTACAGGGCAGGTTTCTCTATTTTCCAATGGTTTACTAGGGCTCATCTGGGCAAAAGTTTAGGATTTAGTGCAAGGACCAAGAAGAGGAATTTATCTAATAGATGTGTACTTCAGGCCTAGTTGATCTGAGTAGCCAAGCAGTGGACAGAGCACTGTTGTTGCTTCGCCAGAACAGAATTTCTGGAACAGGAAAAAAATAACCTATCAAGGAAGGTGTATCTACTGCTTGCTTTTCACAGTGAAGTAGGAGTTGCTGGTTATTGTACTTTTCACCTCTGCATTTTAGGACAGCCATCTGCCATTTCTTAACCTGTCTCTTCACTGCCTGAAACAGAGAAGTTCTTGCGTTTGCTTGTTCCTCAACAAGGGAGGTGCATGCTAGACACCAAAAGTCTCCTGGTGTCCAAAGGAAGAGGCAGAGAGCTATAGCGCAATTGGTATCAGCCAGAAAGATGTTAACACTTGCCTGAAGAAGGCCTGTGAACTTTCATCCATGTGTACAGGCTTCCGCCTACAGCTCCTGCTTATTATTCCAAGTTCCCTCTATAGGCTGAAGGTCACAACTGTATTTCAGAGAAAACCTGCCCCTGCCTTTATCATCTTTTTGGTACCTTCTGCCAGCCCACCCCGTTAAGAGCTGTCACTTCCAGCCTGTCATCAACAGGTGTGTGCCTAGGGGCCAGAGGGATTACCCACGCTAATTCTGCCAGAGACAACCTCACTCCAAGTAGCTGCAATAGCCTTCCTGCATCGGTACAGGGCCTGAAAATTTTGAGAAATGGAAGAGCAGCACCTAAAGCACCTTCTATACTCTAAAGGAGAAGGTGAGATGCCATCCATGATACCTGTTATAAAGCACTGGAAATTGTTTCATTAACCAGACCCCTTGCTCAATAGTGCTGGAGGACTTCACCGGAAACCTTTCACGACTGAACCTTTGGTGCAAAAACACTTAGTAAGTTAGCAGCTATGAATTGTAATGTTATTGGTGATTATAAACAGCTGCAATCACATGTACAATCTACAGGTAGATTACACTGTGTTGCCAGTCTGAGACACTAAATCATTTACTGTGGCTCTTAAATCTTCTTAAACCTCTTTGCCAAATATGGAAATGCTTTGAGGTATTCCAGTATATACGGAACTGAGACAAAACTTACAATCTAACAATCTTCAGCAGAAGAAGCAACTGTTGGGTAATAGAGATGTCAGTCTGAGTTTAAAAAGAAGGACTTCTTCAGAGGTTTGCTTAGAAGAAGCAGATCCCAAGTGTGAAAACAGAGAGGGATAGTGAGTGGTTTCATTCTTCTATATACCTAGAGAAACTGCAGTGCAAACCATTCCCTTCCCTACATTGTCAGTATAAAAATAAGCATGTTGAGATGAAAGTAATGATGAGGACAGAGTTCACATCAAGTTTATCTGGAAGGGCTTCTTATACCTGTCAAGGTGGAAAATGGAGGCGTGGCTAGCAAAGGGTGCACGGTTTAAGAATTCCCTGCACCCTCACAGGCCGGCCAGAATGAAGGTACTTCTGGGCAGTTCTGAGCCTACCAGGGCTGGTGCAGAGTAACATGAAACAAGGTGGCAGCACTGACTCCTGGGAGGCAACTCCTTAATGGGCCAGAGGTCCCAGCAAGCGCCTGTCCCACCAGCCTGCAGCACCAGCTACGGCTCCAAACTCCGCTTCTTTACACTGAAGGAGGCCAGCTTTGAACATCACAGTGATTGCTCTGTTTAAGTTAGAAAGAACAAGTCTTGACGGCAGCCTTCTTTTATTGGGAAAATGAATCAACCAGGAAGGATTCTAAGAAATTGACACAAAGAAGTTTACTGTCAATCAAGCAGTTTCAAACTCCGTGCCATTTTTGTTACACACCTCTGCTTAACTCTGATGCTCGACAATCACTTGGGAGGATGCTTCGCTTCTTTGTGAATGGTTTGAACACCTCTGTTTCCTGGCAGCTGAGGAAAGTGAAACTCCCAGTGTAATTCTCACTCCAAAAGCAGAGTCTGCAGGATTGCTGTTATAGCAGTACAGTTGCAAATTTGTTTAGAGAAAAAACGCAGAGCATGGATGGAGTAAGGAAATACTTCTATGCCTTAGTTATTTTTTTTATCATAAGGGAAGCTAAAATAAAAATGTCAAAAGCACAATTTTATTTCTCTGAAATGAAAGGCATGAAGCTGAGAGGGCCTCCCCACCCATCCCCTATACACAGGCCTCTCTCTTGACTATGGAACAAAATTCCCCTTGTAGCTTTTTTGGGGTGGGAGGGAAAAGGTGGAACTACCTCAGAGTCCCAGAAGGATCACCATTACAAAGGAAGGGTTTTTGTTTTGTTTTGCAAATATCACGTCCCAATTCAAATTGACTCAACAGCTGAGCTATCATTTTCACCTCTCCCCATCTTCCTGCTGGGACACATCAGCAGGACAGCCATTACATTGGTCTAAGCCATGACATCACTGAAAACGGGGACTTAGGTATCTAAAAGGTATTTGCAAATTGCAGTATTTCCTGTGTATTCATGTAAGTATTTAAACTGGGCAGTGTACTATGAGTTGCGGTAGAAGTGTGTGTCTTTAGGCAAGACTTAATAAGTGCCATTTAAAATGTTGAGTCAGTGCCATTTTTTTTTTTTTTTTGAGCAGCTAAGCTATGGCATGTCTATATTAAATTTCTTCCACTTATTAGTGACAGTTCAAGGCACTGACAATGTAACACAGACCTGCCTTGCCTGTTATCCATGGTGACAACGTATGCAAATTATTGTAGGTGCCCACCTGTCATGGCTCTGTACACTGTAATGGCATCAAAACAGGAAAATTTTAACCCACACCTTACCAAACAAAGGAATTTGCATGACACTCATTAATCCTGCATCAGGGCTGCCAATCCAAGCATTCCTCTTTTTGACTTAGTGCAAAACAGTGGCATTTCCTTTCTTTTCTGGACCAGAACTTTGCATTCAAATTCAACATCAGAGCATTTCCTATGAGGAGAAATTAAATGGGAGCAGAACTTTTTCTTTCCTATTGATTGGCATGGCTCTGCAAATGTGGCCACAACATTCACCATACAAAATGGTGAGGGTTTTTTGCTTTTGCTTTTAGAATACCAAATGGAAGAAAATGGAAGGCAGGGGATGCAGCCAGTCATCACCGAGGACAAATTAATGTATCTTAGTTCAGGTTTCTCTAATATGGTGCCTACTAGGTATTTTGAATCAGTTCTATCCAGCATAGCCAATAGTCAGGAATGCTGGGAGCTGTATTCCAAAACATCTGGAAGGCACTAGTGGGGAAAGGTTGTCCCAGACAATTTAACTCAGTCACAATATGCAATTCAGTTCTGATGTAGCAGCTATGAGAGTTTCTGCAGTTACATCAAACTAATGGCAGTAAAATACCAATCACAAGCTACAACTGGAATGTCAACGTTAATTTCCCAACCAGTGAAATGAGTACCTGGTGTTAGCATCTTCCTCTTTTTTTAGTATTTCTTTGCTTGTTATCCAACTACAGAATTTTATCTTTTTGCTTAAGCAACCCTTCCTGTCATCTCATTACACCCACACTAGAGCAACATTGACTGAAGGGCATCAAAAGACAGAAGCTGAGGCCTTGACTGCTCTAAAATTGCTGTCAGTAGGATTAACCGTTTCTCCCATAACCATTTAGGTGAAGGAGGAGGATGCCAGAAACAGTACCATTTAGCTTGAAAGTAACATTCAGTATAGCTGTTCAACACTGTTTAAGCTGCCTTGAAATGGCTACCACACTTTTTTCCTGACCTTGTACCAGCACCATTAATAGCAGGCTGAAATTCACATTTTTATACCAAAAGATGGCTTAGAAATTATCTGTACAAATTTAGAAAGGGAAGTTTCCTTTGTATCTTTCTCTGGGCAAGGAAATACATTTCTTAAATGTCTGGATGTTGGACTGCTGTTAAAGATACTTAAGAGGAGCCATTTTTTAAAACGCTAAATGCACTGCAATGTACCGAATCCCAAATGAAATGCTTAGACCCAAGGCTCAGCCCAGGCAAGTGGGCTCCACCACAGCATGTTTGTCTCCAGAACAGACAATCTAAGATGGGCAACAGCAAGATCCAGGAAAAATCCGGGCCACCAACATGGCAGATCCAACCAGACATGATTACCATAAGCAGAGACCAATACACAACTTGACCCGTGTATTTAATAAAGCTCACAGGGATGTAGAATAGTTTAAATGATGTACAGAACGCATATTCCATCTGAAGGCAGCAAAACAGATCCACAACATGCTTGCTTCCTTCCTTTGACCTCAGAGGTGGGCAACTTGTAGCCTTTCAGATTTTTGACCCACAGCTGGTATTGTCCTCACTGTTGGTTGTGGTGGCAAGCAACTGGTATGCTGGCTGAGAGAAGCTCTCAGCCAAATCACATGGAAGGCCACACAATGCCCACCTCACTCTACTTTTCCCTGCATCCAACACTTTCTCCACTGGTATTCTACTAGCGTGACTGACCAAATGAAGACCACTTGCTCTAAGCAATTAGGAGAAAAGGGAGAGATGTGCCAAAATGGTTTCAGTCTGCCTAGATTCACATGGCAGGAGCCAGGATATTTTTAAATTATTAATAATATTTCATTTGTATACTGTCCCATAGCTGAAATTCTCTGGGCAGTTCACGAGAGTGCATAAAAGAAAACAGATGGGCCAGAACTGGTCTTATATATTTAGACCGACTGGTCCCAATTATTACCGTCTGCCACATTCTGCACACACGGCAGCTTCCGAACAGTCTGCAACGGCAGCCCTGCATAGAGTGCATTGCAGTACTCTAGTTCAGAGACTACCAGAGTGCAGAGTACTGAAACCAGACCATCCCTGTCCAGATAAGGGCATAGCTGGGCCACCAGTCAAAGCTGGCAGAAGGCACTGCAAGCCACTGAGGCCACCTGAACCTCAAGTGACAAAAATGGATCAAGGTGAGCCTCTGAATGCACAGGTAAGAAAGCAATTCCAGTATAGCATTTACATACGAGCCTTGTTAGATTATCAGAAGCTGCTCTGAGGCAAAACATTTATATATATATATATATATATATATATATATATATATATATGCGCAACATAAACACAGTTCTGCAGTTTCATCACATTTTAATCCAACTCTGTCCAAGGAACATCAAGTGGTACAGAACTTCCTCTCTCCTCCCTGGTTATCCTCACAGCCATTCTGCAAGTAGGGCAGGCACAGAAAGATAATGGCCCACAGCCGGTCAGTGGCAAGTGGGGCTGAGCAGCAATTTTACCCTGCCGCTTGCTGTGTCCAACTCTATTTAAAGCCAGGATAAGGCAATCACAAGCGCTTTTGGCAAACAATGTCTCTGGCTGCCCATGCACCGTTCTTCCCATAAGAGCCACTGTTACTACTCAGGATTCTCCCCCGCCCACCCCCATTACTCAAAATTTTTGCCCCCCTCAGGAGCAAGGCATTAAATGAAAGGGAAGCTTTTTGACCAAATGACAGAATCTTTTCATATTTCTTTCAGTTTTAATGTTATGAAGTATTTATGGAATATGGGAATATTGGAGGAAGAAAAAGAAAGTGCTGCTACACAAAATAATGTCTGGGAAAAAAGAATGTGAATTTTACCTGAACTAGAGACAAGTGTTATTGTGATACTTATCATTTAAAAAGCAGAAACAAAAAAACAACAAAAAAAGAGTTTAAAGTAGATTATTTTGTGAACAAGTTTGTGATTTTTTTGTAATTTATGTAAATAAAGTGCTTTTTTATTATTGAAGTTCTTGGGTGGCCAGAACTTTTCCTGGAGCTGGGGTTATAAAATAAGGGATGCACAACTTCCTGTTTCTACTTACTCTTGCAGCTTCGTTTCAAATGCCTGGCAAATGGCGCTACTGTAACTATCAAAAAGCACCAACTTCACTCAGCCTCCCAGGAGCAGAAGAGTTCAAGCAGGATTTGTGAAGGCAGCAAGTGCTACTTCTCAGTTAAGGAGTGGCAGAATCTCCTTAGAAGTAGTCGCAGTCTATCCACTTCACACCACAGCTTTAGGGAACTGTGTAAAGGCTTCTCTCCGGGAGAGTGGGCATGCTTAAGTGCTGTTATTCATAAAAGCTTAATGAACTGGTGCATCAAACTGTGAATGAGAAACTCACAACATTATGCAAAGACAGTCCCACTCCTTTGCTAGAACCACAGAAGCTCATGACAGTAGGAGTAATGTGAATGCAAGTTATTTGCAAATTTAAGTTCCTAAGTTTAATCTCTACTCAAAGAATCAGGCACAGGAAGTCCTGCTACTTGAGAGCTTGGGTCATTATGGTTTAACACCTACTTTTCCTCCTACCACTGGAATCAAAGAAAATTCAAGAGGAATGCATAGGAACAGAGTTTTCTTTGGGATTCTCCAGGGAGCTGAATTCCTAAATCAAGTATCATCAGCTGATTAAAAATATTCAAAAGACTAGTCCTTGAAAATATCTCTGTATGATATGGAAACTAAATGGAGACAAATGGGGGCAAAGTGGAGCTACTCTGTGACTTTAAATCCTTGTCAGAAAGGATATTCTGTTGCCATCTTCATGTGGAACTTCCTTTTTCAAGGCCTAAAGTTAATGTGTGGGTAGGAAAAACATAGAATCCTGTGGCATCTAAACTCTGAAATTCAGACAGTTGGATTAATCTCTATATAGCAGAAAGTTAACAGACAAAAGTATTGCATTAAAAATGGCAATATTTAAATCTCTTGGGACACTTGCCATCAACCTCAAGGTTGTCCTACTGTAACAAAAAGATTTCAAAGGGATGTTCCAGCATGGCATTATTGAATAGAAGTATTACAAAACTCGACTGTATTTAACTCAAATGAAGAGTGGGGATATTGTCCCACCCCAAAAAAGAGAAGGGCAGAGAGAAAGTAATGGTTTCCTAGAAAGGGAGTTAGTTAGCGAGAGCAATCATGACTAGGGTGGTGAATGGGTTACTCCATTCCAAGTTTGCTCCAAGAATAGGTGACAGCACACGCACAAATGCACACTCACACACATAGGCTGCACACCTCCACAGGAAGAAGCCCCACTGAACAGGGTGAGCGTCCCCCAGATAAACACACACAGGACTGCACCTTGTCAAGGGATCTCCCTCACATTGGTTTCCAATTCCAAAGTGAAGGCTGGCTGGCTGTTGGTATCCTAGTGTGGTTTGGGGTTAGGCACGACTGCCTGCAAACATTTCACCTGACCTAGTCCAAACTGGTAAGTTAAGCTCCGCCATGGACAGTGAAAGGACAAGAGAAAGCAGTGCAATTGGACACACCACCTCCCCATCTGGGTTGTACCCAGTGTATTCTACAGGAGCATCAGGCAGACAAGAAATTAAGTGCAGTGGGTGGAAACAGAACCTCAGGATAGAACTAGAGGATGTCTCTTCTTTGGTCCCAATAACAGTCCTAAGGCACCGTTGCTTTTCTGAACTAAAGGAGCATGTCTCTCTAGGCCATTGCAGAGGATTGCTGATTTTAGGAAGCTTTGCCCCCATGTTTTTGAAAGTCTAATCCATTACCTGTTGGTGCAATACTGTGTTGATAAGTAAGATATGACTGCTAATGCTTTACAAACAGAGAAACTAGTTTTAATGTACAAGTTAACTCAAGCCTTCAAGAAAGTTGTTTTCAGAGAGAGAGATTAGGAGCCTTCACCAGATATCTGTGTGTTGCCTGCTGTGGTTTTCTTGAGAGGGATAATGCAAATGCTATTCTTGGCCTCTTTGATCCTCCACCAGCGACCCAACCTGCAATTCAACCCAGATAAATCACGTCATTTGCCATTGAAACATTCTTCTTAAGTGTTACAATCTGGTAAATCTGAAGGCAAAGTTAAACAAAGGTCTGAAGCAAACATTTCACAACTCCTTCCTGTGCAAGAAGTCATCTGAATGTAAATCAGTGCATCTAAATGCAATTAGGAAAACAGAGTCTTAACAGAGTTGCAACACAAGATGCTCAAAGGACTGAACTGTAGCCCAAGGCCTGGGAAAGGTCTTGTTCACAGACATTCCTAGCATGCTTTGTTCCTCAAAAACAGACAGCTGAATTGCAACACTCAGCTTCAGGCTGCCCAGTCTTGCCTCTAACCTGCCCTTAAAAACAGCGAACCTTGATTTCACTGCTGTTTGCTTGATGCTGTTCTAGAGTCAGCCTAGAGAGGCTCACGGGAGACAGACAAGGTGAGAATTCTAAGCAAGGGGTGGGGAGGGAACAAAAAATTCTTACTCGAACTCGTGGGCAATTCTACTAAATTTCAGACAGTTAAATTGCCAGGAACCCTATCAAGTTGTGCAGGAGTACTAAGTATTCAGCAAGAGAGCCATAATTATCATCTAATAAACTACACTCTCAAGAAAGCTTGGGGAAAACTTTGCATTTGGTCTTGAAGTCTGCACTGAGCATACTTCTTATGGTGCTCTATGACAGTGGGGGTAGAAAGTATGTACGGATATAGTAGTAAAGCAGAATGGCACAACTGAATACCTGTGTTCTTGTCCAATTCCAGCAACCAGAAAGTTTCCAGAATTTGAGAATTTCAAGCTATTTACAAAGCCAACCTGAGAAACACACACAAAGCAATTAAACACTAGTTATTGGAAAGCTGTTTATCCACCTAAGCACAAATGAGATGAGTTTGTAACCCTCTCAGCCTTGTAGACAGCAACAGCATAAGGCATGAGGAACAAGTCTGAGCTGTTAAATCAATTCAAAATGAACAAATCAAACAGCAGGGGGTGTGGATTTTGAAATGTCTGAGCTGTTCAAGAGTATTCTGCATATTTCAGGATAGAGTCTAGTGGCATCTCAAAGACAAATTTATTGTGGCACTTATAAAGCCGTAATAAATTTCTCTTTAACGTGCCAGAAAAATTAGCTGTTTTTGCTGCAACAGCCTAATATAGCCATCACTCTAGAAGCTACTCCATTATTTCAGGGGTCACTGCAGAATTTTGATCCACCAAATATGCTGTCACTGCTAGTGGCATTTAATTTGATTTCTGTCTTTCACTCACAGTCCAAGTCATGTCCACTCTGTTTTCCCATATAACCCAATCCACCAATTTTCTAATTCTTAGTATAGCTATAAAAACTGCCATCACTTCAAAGCATCCTTTATGATTGAAGTTCTGACCAGCAGCCCCATTGCTGAAGCCCTTCCACAAGGAAACCATAAGAAGTCATTTTTTGCATGAATTGGGGACCAATATGATGTAAAGCAAAACAAACATTTTCTGTATCAGCCTAAGCTCAGATGATTACTCATCAGGCCAAGTCAGGCCCTATACTGCAGCTTACTTAAAATAACAGGAGGTATCCAACAGAGCACAACTGCTAACATCAATTCCATTGGGCCAGCCTAACCTAGCCCAACACAACACCAATAGCTATTTCGTAGGGAAATCAGGTGCAGCAGCTAACAGTACTGGCATCGCACTGGACAGTCTAGATGAGCGCAGGGTAATTTGCTTTGGGCCTTGCAGCCACTGCACTCCTTTGCACTCTGCTCAAGAGTTAGTTCCCATGAATTGCTTTAAAGAAGGAAAACTCAGCTGTGAAAAACCCCCAGCACTTACACAGCAGCTTGCAGCACTTAAGAGAATTCCGTATGTGTGCAACTAGAGAGCGTGCATGGATTTGTACAGTGCACTTGGAAATGTCATCCCCATATTGCAAGGGGAAAGGATTGGCCAAGGCTGCCAACTGAGTGGTGAAGGTTAGAATCAGTGCCAAGGAGTCCCCTGGTTCACCACCACGATCACCCTGTACGATGTGTCCTCTTTCTTAGCTTTAACACTTGCGTACTGTGGAACGCTATCTAAGCAAAGAGCACCGTAAACAAGGAGCTCAACTCTACCCTCCCCGCCAGCACTTTCCTTACCAGGGGAATCTCAAAGACTGGCTCCAGCTTCCGGAATCCCTGTGCACACTTCCACAACTTCACACTGCCACTGTGCGAACCTGCAAAGAGCAAAGCATGGGAGGACAAAACACTGGCCCTTTCGCACAAGTGAGGGGCCAGTTAGTTCAGCAGAAGCTATCTGTGAGTGTAAATTTATAAAACCAAAGGTATCTCCAACAGCACTCAGCTGTGTTCTTTGGCATCACAGGTCAAACACCCAAGTGCCCTGGGAAGGGCCACGGCTCAGGGCAGAGCACCGGTGTTGCGTGCAGAAGGGCTCACGTTCAGTCCTCAGTATCTCCAGGGAGGGCTGCCTGTGGCAGTGGTCCTGGGCTGGATGGACCAAGGGCCTGAATGGGTATAAGGTTCAAGTTACCTTGGCTGATGGCACCCAGGGGAGGAAGACTTGAGAAGCCATTCAAGTACAGTGTAAGGCCATTCGGTCACTGGGGGCCTGAAACAACTTACCGCCTTTAGGAGGCCCGCATGGCAACAGGGAGAGCAATGGAGAGGCATGTGCAGCTGCTCTGAAGGCCATTTCGACCTGAAGCACAGGGCTGGGGAACCTGCAGTCCTCTGTGCAGCACTGGACTCCTACCAGACCCAGCCGGCATGACCAACAAGCAGCACCAACAGCAGAGTTGCCGCCCCACACTCCACGGCCAGCACCCATTCCCCACCCCCACCTTAATAAGGATCCTGGAATACATTACAAGATAATAATCCAAAGCAGAACCTGCTCACCTGACTGAACCCGCAGGCAGATGGTTTCACACAAAGCTCTTTCAAACAGGCATGCTACCAACTGAGCAGAAAATAGCAATGCAGTGCCTCACTCAAATGTAAGAGAATTGCAGTCTAAGACAGACAAAAGAGAAAGCAAGGCTGGGGTCCCACAGCTTGAGGTACCTGTGGCTACGAGGTCACTGTTCAGCAAGGCTGCAACTGAAGAGATCCAATATGGCTGCTCCAGGCCCTGCATGCCGTGGCAACTGTGGGCTTGCTTCACCATGGTCAGTGGCTTCTTTTTTGAGATACCCCAGAGGGCTATGGACCTTAAGGACAGCAAACACAATTATCGCACATGAAAAAGCCCCTGGGAAAAACAAGACGACCAAGACTTCTGGAGGTTCTTACCCATCATCTGCACCAGACACCATGTGTTCCTCATTGATCAGCTGAATACAATCAATAGAGCCCCTATTCCAAAGGAGAAAAGCATTACTGTTGTTAAATTCCATGGCCCACTCGACTGAAAAGCTGCACAGTCTAGTCAATAGTAGGTATAGTATTGCTAATAGGTAGGTTTAATCTAGCCAATATAAACACAAGACAGGAGCAGATGGCATGCTTCAGCACCAACTTGGGCAAAAACACTTCAGCACCCAGCCAACTTAAAGGTACGATGCAGAAGGTGGTAAAGAAGATGTTTGATGGAATGTCTTTATGGGATAAGCTTCTCACCAGGAAATGCAAATGCCAAGTTCAGGTGTAATGACTACTGATGTGTTGTTTAAACCGAAGTAGTCATACCATACGTGTTCACTCCTGTCTGGTTATTTCCCAACTGTGCACTCACTTCCTTGATAAGACAAAGCATGGGTTAAACGCTGGGCTGTTTCTCCTGTAACAGCCCAGAGGTCCAAGTTCAGACTTCACAGCAAACAACACAGTGACGGGGTCCTCCTAAACGGAAATGGGCAAACAGTCTGGAGGCAGCTCACCTCCACATGGTCACTAGTCAGACCTAAACAAGCCATGGATGGTCACTACGTGTGAATAGGACATTCATACCATCCTTGATGTCACTTATGCTAGGAATTTTATTTTTCATCTCTAAAGTTATTTCACCAGTTCTCACGAAGAGGAAAGGAATTCTTGTGAAGTGGCGATTTCATATACATCAAACAGCCTAAATGAAGCACCTGTTCAAACTGTAGCATTTGGAGTACACTTAATAATTAGACCTTTGGGCAGCTGGTTAGTCAGTAGTCCTAAATTTTAAACCCACAGCATTCTGATGGAGCCCACACAAGAGGGCTTCCCTGCTTCCAGCTCCAGTACCATCATTTCACTCCACCCTCCACCCCACGCAGAGGACAGCAGAAGGAAGGAGAAATTGTAAATCCCCTCCCCAGCACCCATACACACCATTTGTGAACACAGGAGGGCCACAAGTGGCTCTCTGGATGCCACCCACTCCCACAACAGGCTCAGAACCAAAATGGAAACAGGGGCAATGGTCAAAAAACCTGACGACTTAAATGCTGGAAAGCCTGATGCGTCTATCCATGAGCTAGCTGCAGAGGACTAACAGCGGATGTGTTCGACATCAAGAGAGGGTGCAGCTGCAGCAAAAGCAGCAAGGTGGCTTGTTGGCACACAGAGTGCGTGCCCCTCTCCATGCTGTGTTCTGTTGGAGGGAAGTCCCTGAACTGGGTGCTGCTCCCATACGTACTGGTGCCCATAGAACACGAGCTGGGACTCCTCAGGGATCTTCCAGATTCGGACAGTGCCGTCCCTCCCTCCTGCTGTGACGCAGCACTCCCGGCCCAGACTGTCCAGTCCTGTGATCACATCCTGATGTCCAAACCTGAGAAGGGGAGCAAGAAGAAGCTAAGCAGGAGATTCAGCTGCTGACCGTATGGATCTGAGAACCAGGCATTTCTCCTGAAAAGATTCCACTGTGTCTCACTGCTAAGGCATCTCAGGATTTGGTTTTTTATGGTGGCTTAGTCAGCTGCATTCAGAAATGCTGGCTCCTGAGCACACTCACACTTGAGAAGGGAAAAGGTTCCCTCTTCCTCATAAGGCTGGCAGGAGAGGAACAAGATTACTTCAAAGATTAATTTTTGGTTTTGCCTGCATGATCCCAAGGATTGTGACTAGAAATGGGACTGCAGTGAGGAGTCTATATGAAAAAGATTCCTGCCTTCCAACAGACAGACATTAAAAATCAACCAGGTGTGCAGCTCTATTGTACTACCACCAAACAGACAGCTACCTTTCCTCCCCCATTGGAATGCCGCATTTCAGACAGTGGAAGTCCTACTGAAGGAACTGGGTTCAGTGATGGGTTTTGATGAGTCTTCCAAAACTGTAATGATGAGACACAGCTGGCCCACATGAGAGCCCTGGTCTTTTTTGCACCCCCACCCCACCGCACCGCAAATGCATACTCTGATTAAATACAAAAATTAGACTATCCTGGGTCTTCTGGAATTACAATTTTGCATTAAAACAAGGAACACAGTTGCCCTGTTTTGAAAATAGATTGTGCTTTTTTGCTGCTATAAGTGGTATAAATATTGCCACACAAAGGGATCCCCAGTAGGTTCCTGGGGCAGCAAATGGCTCCCCAAACCCTCTGAAATTGCCCATGCTGCAAAACAGTTTTGCACAGCCTGAAGCAGTGGCAAACTCACTTGGACAACTGTTTGCTGGCTAGGAATGGTCACAAAAAGAGGAACCGCCATGTTAATTGATCACCAAGGCCCCGCTGCACCCTACCCTCCAGATCAGCTTTCTGAGAGTTACAGAGAAGCCCAGGACTCCTACAGTTCCAATAAACTCCAGAGGTTTCTCAGGGTCTTTCCCCTGGTTGCACAAGCACACAGGAAAGCATGCTGCTTACAAGGTTTCCACATAGGCGTTCTCGGCCACATTCCACACTTTGACGGAGCGGTCGTGCGAGGCGCTGTACAGCTGGTGCGTGCCTTTCTGGAAAGACAGGCCCTGCATGGGAGAGAGGAGAGTGGCAGGAGGGAGGCAGCAGCCTGAGGGGGAGGCAGGGCTGGCAGGAGTGTTTGGCCATCAACCCTTGAATCTCTCCGCCAAGCCTGGCCCAGGCCCTGCCCAGAGGAGAGAGGGGGCTTTAATATTACTGAGTGAGAGACAGGGAGCTTCAACGCCTTCAGGAAGGACAGGCACTTGTCATTAAAAAGAAAAGTGATCCTCAAATGCTGCACGAAGCACCCTGAATTATCTTTTCATCCTGCCTTTCCTATAAAGCAGCTCCCGAAAGGAAAGGAAATCCACAATAATACCGAGTCTGTTAGCAGGAATGTTGATTTTACGGGCCAGAAAGCTATCGGCTAAATGAATTCGTGAAGCTAGAGAATTGTGCAGGCTGCTTCCACCAAACCTCAGCTGGCTTGCTGTGAAGGTCTTTATTCATATAACTGTTGCTTCGTTTTGGGATGCAACATTAAGTGAAAACCCCATGTACACATGCTGGGCGCGCCTGAGCTGTGAAGCTGCTGCCTCGGTTGCAGAGCTCACTCACCGACACGGTATCACGATGCCCGGTGAACTTGTACAGGTGGCTGCACGTGGTGGCTTCCCAGATCATGATGAGCTTGTTCCTGTCTCCTGTCGCCTAGCGGGAAAAGACAAAGCAAACGACATCAGTGCCCACAGCCCTTTGCTAGCATGGCACAGACCTGAGACCAGCCTACTGTCCTCCAGATGTGTTGGACTATACTTCCCACTGCTGGCTGGGGAGGATGGCAGCTGTAGTCCAAAACTTCTGGCAAGGCTGGTCCCCTTACTAAGGTGTCCAAGCAGCCTGGCTCAGTTGACCAATGGCTCTGCCTCCATCAAGCTACTTACTTGTTAAGACTTTTATCCCGCCCCATTAGCCCTAAGGCTCCCTTGGACACATGACTGGTAATGCACAGGTTGATCAGCGACCGCTGTCCGACAGATCACCTTATCCTAGCAAGCGGCCCACACAGTACTAGGTACCTTTGCCAGAGGGACTGCCCAAGTTTTTGCAATGAGGAGGAAAAACCGAGCTGCACAGACTCAGAACGCAATTAGTCCCCCATCTCTGCTCGAGACCAAGGAGCTGGTTATCTCAGAACGGGGAGGATGCCCCTTACCAAGTATTTGCCATCTGATGAGATGGCCATGGCGAGGATGTGTGCCGTGTGCCCAACGTGACTGTCTTCTGTCCCCTTCTTGCCTCCGCGGATCACATGCAGCTTCTTCCCACTTTCTACATCCCCTACGATGCAACAACGTCTAAGTCAGCTGGATGAGGACAAAACCACCTCGCAGATATTCTCAAATTTCAGGATCTTCCTCCACCTTAGTTAATCCTGGGTTCTGCACATTCAAGCTACTGTGGTAAAATGCAGGGTTAGGGAGGCTATTTCTAATAACCAGACATCTTTTCATAGGAAATCAAGAAATGTTGAGGTTATGCAAAGAGAAGAGATTGGCTTTTATAAAAATAGTAGCCATTACGTCATACCATTTTTTTATTTAGGTTACCACAAAGTGCACAGTCTGTGGGGTAGAAATGATGAGAAGACCAACAGAGGCTGTGTATCTGTTCAGAGGCAGCATAAAAATGAACAAAAGTTTGAAATTCTATTATAAATTGCCTTTTGTAAGCCAACTGATTCAGAAGCCGTGAATAAGGACATTCTCTATATCCCCCACCCCTAACTTAGAGAATAGGGAAAACCAAGTCAGCCTTCAATCATAAGCCACCCAAATTTACAATTCATGCTAACATTGAATACATTCATTGGGATGTCACATTCAAGTGATTAACCCACCATGACCCATATTCTTTTACACCTCTCTGCTGGCACCCTTATACAACTGCTGGGACAGGGAAATCAACCACTTGGTTATAGGATGGCTTAATTTCAGCACGAAGTATCCTTCAGAACTTACTCATAAGATACAGAATTAAAGCTGCACCATATCTTAGCACCTGCAGAGCAGAGTGTGCACAGTTTCTTGCAATGTTCAGCTGCACTGAGAGATGCAACTTCATGTGTGTATTCATCCCCTGAAACACCATCCATGCCTCAATCACCAACCTTTACTCCAGCCTGGCATCCATTACACCAACCATACAACAGTATCCACCAACCCTGACAATGTGAACCCACATGAAGCCAAACCAAGGATGATTCCACAATAGCCCGGAAAACAGAGCTAATATGAAAGTAATTGGTCAAGGTTGTACCAATTTCCATGGGTGTTTTAAAACTAAGCTTCAATAAAAACGATTGTCAATTGGATGCCCACAGTTCAGAAAACAACCTTAATATAATCCCAGTCCTCTATCAGCTCCACTAGCTTCCCATCAAAGTCCGGGCTCAATTCAAGGTGCTGGTTATTACCTATAGAGCCCTAAACAGCTTGGGACCAGGATACCTAAAGAAACGCCTTTTCCCTATTTGCCCTCCCGCCCCCCGAGATCGGCAGCAGAAGCCCTCCTCCGGGAACCCTCTTTGAAAGACATCAGGAGACAGAGTACCCAGAGGAGGGCCTTCTCTGCGGTGGCGCCCTGTCTATGGAATGTGCTCCCCAGAGAGGTCTGCCTGGCGCCGTCATTATATGTTTCTCGGCGCCAGGTTAAGATCTTTTTATTTAATCAATATTTTAACAAGTTTTAATATTGAATTTTATTATCCTATTTTAATTGCAGCCAGAGTGGGTCATTAATTTATGTATGTTATACTTTTATGTATATGTATTTTATTTGTGAAAGCCGTCCTGAGGCTCTTGCAAAGGACGGCATACAAATAACTTAAATAAATAAATAAAGCCATCAGTTCCTTCTCCATAGGTAAGATTCAGACCATCAGGGATACAAATCCAACCTAATCAAGGACTGGGCAACCTCAGGTTGATTAGGGGCCATTTTTGACTCCACGGATCACTGTGCTGCTCAATTTGGTGGCAGCAAGAAATTGACTGTTTTACTGCTCCACAGTATTTTGCTGTTCAAACTCAGCAACGTGCTCGACTGCTTAGCCGCCGCCACGGATTGCACTGGCAAAAAAGCAGGGGCTGTGCCATGGAGCTGGGGGCTGTGCACTGCCCATCCCTGGCGTTCTGTCGGAAGGGCCACTGCCCTGTAGCAAATCACATGAGCCTATCAGTTCAGTCCCCCTCATTTCTGTACAACAGAGGCAGCAGAGCTAAGGAAGACCTCTACCTGATTATTTGGGAAAGCTGTGGTCAGTTAGATCAAACAGTACAGCTACAAGTTCCAATGGATTAAACTCCTTGCAAAGTTGCTGCTCTTATGTGCATACAAGGACATGAGACAAGCTTCTGGATTTTGTCTTCCAGTCCAAAATGACATGGAAGGAGAGTTATAGGGGTAATAGTGGTACATGTTGATTTAGTTGCCAAGTTGCAACCTTGGTTGCCAAGTTGCAACCTAGAAACAGTTCAGAGGAAGGCAATAAAGATGGTCAGGGGAATGGAAACAAAGCCCTATGAAAAATGATTGAAAGGCTTTAGCCTTGAGAAGAGAAGACTGAGGGGAGATATGATAGCACTTTTCAAATACTTGAAAGGATGTCATGCAGAAGAGGGCCATGGGCTCATGTCACAGGAAGCCCAATTCTGGGTGGATGTCAGACAAAACTTCCAGTGTGGCAATGGAACTGGTGCCCTAGGAAGGTTCTGGGCTCCCCGACGCTGGAGGCATTCGAGATGCAGCTGGACACCCATCTGTCAGTGATGCTTTATCTTGCGGTCCTGCATTGAGCAAGGAGTTGGACCCAGTGCCCTGGGCCCCTTCCAACTCTACTATTCTATGAATTTAAACTTGCTAAAATCTACAGGAAGATAAAACTGGCACATCAACATTTGGGGTAGGCAACACAGACTTGATCCATTGACCTTTCCAATTCTCTGGATGATGCCATGAGAAACATTAATGTTTACTCTTTTTCTGCCCCTTCTTCCATGTCCAGACAATCTTTCCTTGTGCAGAGTATAAGACTTACATTTGATGATGGAGCAGTCTTTAGCTGCAGAGAAGAGATATTTATCATCTGGTGAGATGACCAGACAGGTGATGGGCAACTGGTGACCTCGCAGTATCCTGATGTCAGAACTGTCTGGAGGCTGCAACTGTCCAAAGAGTACCAAAAAGATTGACATTCATGCCTAGGCATCAGCTTGAAGGAACACCGGTCCACAAGCTTGGCCAAGTTGTGTTCAACAGGTATATTCAAAGTCAAGGCACAGGGGTAGCGTGGCCAGATTCTACCACACACTGATCTTACTGAAAACGTAGAAATGTTCCTTTGTTAGTGACTTGCTCCAGAAATTGAGAGCTAAGCCAAGCTCCTGGTAACAATGCTTCATCCAAACCAAAGTACTTGAATTTACTAAGCCAGATACAAATACAAATTTTGGCAATTTACCCCTTCGGTCACAGCAACAAGAGATTTATGCATCGCACATGATTTTGCATTGTAGGGTAAGATTCAGCCCAAAGGAAATGTTGTATTCCATTGCTTTCCCAAGCTTTGGCAGGCAATTTCTCCCTCTCCCACACTAGGTAACAGGATAGCAGCAGCACCTCTTCTTTCTCCAAGGCCAGGGCAGAACTTGAGAGCACTGGAGCCACCACAAAAGCAGCATTAAGCAATTTGGCAACTTCACAGAAAAGTGCTCACTCATGGCGGAAACACATGCTGGGCATTAATGTCCAAGGAAAAGGGAGGTCAATTTTATTTTAGTACTGCTGGAATTTTATTTTAAAACACCCCAAGTGAACTTAAGCAAGACAGAAAAATTTCATGTGTTAATTTAACAGAAATAACTTGCCTCCTTTGCTTCAAGAAACAGAATATGTGCTTTAAATTTCTGCAGGAAAAAAACTTTTTTGTAACAACTTTCAACTTACAGTTTTTGCAATCTGTCGCTGCAATTTTCCCTTCTGTTCAAGCTATGGAAGAAGAATTTAGAAAGCTGATCACAAGAATTTTCTTATCTCCCTTCATGTGCAAAGAAAAGGAAGTTATAGACAGGAAGTTATAGTCACATTCTTGAAGGAACACTGCTTCGTTAAGAGAACCCTAACACCCATCTTTCCTTCTTTCGATAACCTAGAGTTCCTGGTTCTTGTGCCCCCTTGTTCAATCTCCGCACAGTGATAAGCCTTGGATGACAAAATGATTTAAATGCTGATGCATCCAGTGCTTACTTACTGCCTCTGCTGTCTTAGATATTCCTATTTCATGACCTTAAAATATAGTCATAGCTCTATCTGACATACATGGTTTTAAAACAGGGCTGAGAAAACAAACAACTGTCATGTCAGCTCAGAGTAACCAAGCAAATGATTGTTTCCTGAAAATGAAATGCCAAAAAGTTAATTCTTTATACTATCTACATCAATGCTTTTACCGAAGATCCGTTTTGCAGTACTAGAGCATGATTGGGTTCCACTTGAGAGGCATTATTTGCGGTACTGTGACAAATAGATGCCCATGGACCTGTGTAGCCCATCCTAGCTCTTTGGATGTTGAGCCTGGCTAGAAAAGAAGATGGATCTTTTTTTAACCCACCACTCATGCTGGTATGGGGGAGTTTGTTGTCCACAGAGAAGAGAGCTTAACCCAGTATGACCCTCTACTTCTATAGTTAACCCTCTAGTAAGGAGATGCCACCTATTCCATAAGCAAGGTGGGAATTCTTGCCTTTCCTCTGCCCAACTCAAGAGGCAGAGAGACTCACAGATTTATTTGGTCCACCATTCCTCTCAGGTATTTTACTCACCACATCTTCCTTCAACCGCCCTGCAACCAGGTCCTTCTCAAAGGCCTCTTCTTCAGCCTTTTCCTCTTCTGTCCAAGAGAAGAAATCACAAACATCACATAAGACTTGGGATGTTGAAAGAGATTAGACTGAAGAATGCAAGAATTACTGCTTTACCTCAGTCTCTTTAGTGAACTGGAACCTTTCCACTGAAAGAATTAAATGCAGCACTCTTTCTTTGTCAAGGCACTGTCAATATGTATAACTCCTCAAACCCATGGTTGTCTCTTGAAATTGCTGTGGCCCAGTTTGCATGTAACAACAATTTATATGACTTTTCATAAATGAGGCAGCATGCTGGCTAGCATTGTCCAATTGCTCCTGGGTTATTCAGCTGCTCCATCCCATGACATGTGAACCAGAAACTTGGCATGTCTTTCCCCTGGCAAGGGAGAGAAAGACAGTTTGTTCCTGGACTGTTTCTCTGGCTTGTCAGGAATGAGAAGTAAGCCAGAGTTCCTGGTGCACACATAATGCAAAACCAACCTTGCAAAGGTCTGCTAGTTACTAAGGTGCTTGTGTTCACAGTAAGAACTATGAGGATGGAAGCACCAGCAAGTCAGTTGGTTCACAACAACCCACAATTTTATCCAAATTGCAGATCCTTGTCACATACAAGCCAGATGTGCCCATTGGTTCCCTGAAAGGGGAAACAAAGAAATAATTTTAAAAGTTCTGGGTGCCAATGAAAACAATTTTATTGCTGCCCTATGCATTTTGGAAATATGTTTCTTCAGGGGCAAAAGATCATTCATTTGTTATATTGTTATACATTTTTCACTGGCACTCAGGACCTCAATTATTTCTTCCCCCTTTTTCATACTTGTGCCTTCCCATCATTTGGTTATACCATTTCTCTACCCAGTTAGCTTTTTGCATGAATGTGCTGCCAGAATCACACTATTATTTATTTAAAACATTTTTATGCAGCCCCCATCGCAACAAAGCCTCGGGGCGGCTCACAACAAGTACATAATTGTTCTACAAACACACTTTATAAAGTACATTAATGCACTATCTTCCATTTTAATAAAATTTTGGAGTAGTCTGCCCCATTTCTTCTTGTTGTATTTTGGACCCTTTGCAGCATGCAAACAGATGGATGAGTTCAAGAATATTTATCCTTTTAAAAAAATTACTCTTTGGCCAGAAAGGACAATAGATAAGAGAAATACATCCTGATAATATTACAGGGATTTTCTATCTTTCCCAGAAAAGAAGCCAGAAAGGAAGTCCCCTAATCAGGGATGCTGCCCCACCTGGAGGATGGACTAAATGAGCTGCCCTGGTGTGTCTTGGATGTTTCCAGACCACCACCAACCCCCTGCCAAAAAAAAGAAGGGGTGGAGAGAATGCTTCTGATCTTCAAAGCAGACTAGACTCAAGAACAGCTAGCCACAATAAGTTAAGAAGTTTCTGAAAGTTACATAGTCAAGATATCAGTCTAAGGCAGCCGGGTTAAATTTCCTATTCTGCAACTGTTTCCCCTTATTTACACCAAAGGATTTTTTTTAAATCCACAAATTTCTTATGAGGAATTCTCATGCTTTTTTGGCATCTCTTTTTATGCCAAAGATACCTTTTTATTTAAATGTTAGACCTTTTTATTTAAATGTTATTTTAATTAATTGTTTATTTATTGGTTTTATTTATTGCCTGAATTATCCAATTTTTATATTTTTGTATTGTTATTTATTTGTTGGAAGCCGCCCCGAGGCTTATGTGAATGGGGCGGCATACAAGTTTCCCAAATAAATAAATAAATAAATAAATATCTTTTCTTTTTCTTTAAAAATCACATTTGTTAAGGTTTTACAATATATTAGTTTGCTTGGGTATATTTAAACATAGAAACTGAGCGAGTCAGAAGGGGCCTCCCGGGCCATCTAGTCTGACCTCCGGCACCACTCACGACAGTCATTTAAGACACAATTTGAAGCATGCTTAGGCAGTAGCCATGTTCAGATATCATGACAACCCTGTCAAACTCTTTATAAAGGTTGAGTGAGCACGTCTGACCTTTTGTCAAGTTTGCAAAGGGTCAGAGAAAAGAAGAAAAGTTGGTCCTCATGGAGAAAAATGGGGGGAAAACACAAAAAGAGACTGTTCTTGCCAGAAAGGGTATAGTTTGTGGGGATGGGGGACGCTTTCCCAGTCCCTGTTCCAGATTAGCCACCCCTGCCTCCAAGCAGCAGGTGAGGGTGCCTGATCCTCTCCATGTCACAGCCCCAAGCACAGAGCAGGAGTGCAGAGTGGAGCTCAAGTAAGCCTCTGCCAGGTGACCCTAAGTACCACTTTGGTGGTGGCCGAGAATGGCAGTCACCCAACAGCTGCCTGGCAAGTGTAGCAAGGAGAAGTAAAAGGTCTCATCCCTGGTGAGAGACCCTGTTCTGAAGCAGGACCAGCCACCATGGACACTGCCAGGTAGCCTGTTTGAAAAGGCATGCTACCCTCAGTGACGTGGCCTCTGCTCAGATGACATGACAATTCATGTATGAAAATAAACCACAGTGGCTCATCTGAACCAGGTCTGTAGAAAGGCCTACAACTCTCAATATGCCCCAGGCAACACTGCTGACTGAGATATGCTGGGAGCTGTATGCTGTTCCCTGTCCCAGTGTGCACAGGATTGCAGCCTTAATAGGCTAACAGTCCAGTTACATAAAATCCAACCCCCACACACCTTGCTGTCGAAGTTGTTCCAGATATAACTTTGCTAATCTTAGTTTCTTCTCTTGTGCTGTCTCTTCAATCTCCTCTTCTGCTTCATTGTTCTTTTTCTTTGCTGGACTACAGGTGAGAACGGAACAATTAACGCAAAGGTATCTAATTTTTCCCAAAGCATCCATCACCAAGAAACAAGTTTTTCACAATCCTTTTGGAGAGTATGATTCAGTCTCCTGTGGCAGTCCCTACAGGCCAAAAACCCACATCAAGAAATTCTGCAGAGGGCTTCAGTGCACACAGCCATATAGGATAGATGGGTATACACAAGAATTCACAGCTTGCGCCCACCCACCTAGCTTATGCAACTCACACCTCCAAAGGAATACATTCAAAGTTTGTTTTCTCCTATATTTTCCCCAAGACTATCCAAAATTATATGAGTTGCCTTTTAAGCTAGTAAAGGCCACCAAAGCAACGTGGAATATCCTTACCTCTCTGGTTCTGAATCACTAGAGATCTCCTCATTCAACTTGGAGCCAGCTTTCTGCCAGGCCTTCTCCTCTGCAGCAGGAAGCTGAAAAATGAAACACTTATTTCAGTATTGAAGAACTGCAAGTCTCATAGAATGAAGTATCACTACATCCTAAGGCCTTTCTCCAAAGGCCAGAAAACAAGAATAGCATGGAGAAAATGGTATAGTGAAAACCCTTGGTATGTTTAAAATAAGCTCTGCAAGAAACAAAATCTCTAACAATTTACCAAAATAAAAAATGCTAAGTGCAAGGTGGAGACTGGAGACTATGAGGTAAACTACAAGGGTACTCCCAGCCTAAGCTTGCACTATGTAATCACACTGCCTCAGTGCAGAAGACCCTTCCAGTTGTAATCCAAGTTTTTGCACAGCTCTTTCCTAACACTAACTCTAACCTTCTGTCTGGAAGCATCCCAAATCTGCTAAGCTTAAGGTTGAAATTCAAAGGATGCCAGGGCAAACACCCCGTATAGTGACCTCAAAGAGTTTACATTCAAATATACTTTAGGTTGGCCAAATGCAAAAGAGGCTTGTACCTTTTAACAGGCCTGCTGATAAAGTTATGAGGGAAGTTATACACTGCTGCAACTGAAGGGGCCGAAGGAGCCCTGCCCTCTTTTGCATCTGGCATAGTCGGTAAGGGCATAACCCCACGTATTTTTGAAAAAGAAAAATCTTACGAGTACAAGCTCCAGCATTCCATGGCCAGCCCAGCTCGGAGCTGTACAACCTTTTTCTGCCCAAATATGTATAGGATAGCGCCATAAATTCACTTCGGCTCACACTGCACAACACCATGACAGGTCATGCCCCGATGCAGACAACATTTATTTATTTAAAGCTTATTTAAAACTTTTCTATACCCTCCCTTCACAAACATCTCGGGGCAGTTTACAACAGATATACAACAATATCAGCCCCAGCACGGCTGTGCTGCACTCAGGCGGACCAGAACTTCTCTCGGCACCCCTAAGGATTTCGCAGAAGTGCGTGCGGGGATGCCTGAGAGGAAAGCATGGCGGCAGTAATCGGGTTCCGCCTTCCCTTTGCCTCGGACCACCCCACACCCGCGCTCACCTTGCGCCTCTTGGGCCCAGCCCCCGCGGCAGAAGCCGTGAGCCCCCGCTGCTTCTGCTGCTGCTTCTGTTTCCTCTTCATGCCTGCGGCCGCCATGCCGCTTCCGAAGCTGCAGCCTCAACGGAGCGCGCTTCCTCCACGTGGCTCTCTGACCCAGCCCCGGCGCCTTCCCATAGGACGGAAACGCCTCTGGCCCTTCTCTATTGGCTCGTATTCTGCCCGGAACTCCGCTGGGTACGCCCACTTTGCCAGCTTCATGCTCATTGGTCGACACTAACCGGGGAACTACCACCTCTATTATCTTACTGGTTTGATGAGCCGCTTGTCTCCGTCTCGTACTGGGGCTTTCCTGTTGGAGCGGCGAGGCGTGCGCCTTCGACTTGGTCGTCCGCCGGCAGTGCCGGATGCGTCCCACTGGACGCCACTGCTGCAGTGTGCTTGGTGCGCCATTGGAGGGAATCTTGAGCGGCGGCAGGAGGAGGATCCCTCGAGCCGTGCCGTACTGGGACCTGTGTCTGCACGAAGGAATCTGCGGGTTGACTCCCAAGAAAAGAAAGGAGTGAGAATTGGAGGGCATTCGGTGCTTGTGGGCTACGGAGGGCCTAATAGGAGGTTGCAGAGCGCGTGCGGCTGCAGCAGTAAAATGCAGAGGGAGATGTGTGAATTGCAAACATATAGAACGCTGGAAGAAGGAGACCGCGAAGATCGCATGGCTTTCCAATGTGCACGGCTGGACTTAAAATTCAGTTCCCCACCGCCCTTCATGAGGACTCCATTTCAGGGACAGCGGCGCCGACTCCCGTCTTCCCAGAAAAAAAAATCGGATTCTTTTTTGGAAGACTCGTGGTCGGTACTCTTCCTACTGCACATACCTCCTCTACCAATTTGGAAGAAAGGGGGATACTTGTAGTTGGAATTGTCCATTTAGGAGCCTCGTTGCTTGCCTCTTCTTGGGAGGTGGGGGATCGATGAGTGACTGCTGCTTGATCCCTTCTCATGTCTACGGGGCCTGCTAGTCATTCTGCCCCCGGTTGACCGACAGCACATGACCGGTGTGCGCTCATTCCTTTCTCTGGGTAGGGCTGGGCTGGGCTGGGCTGGCTCCGTCCCCAGAAGGGCGTGTTGCAGCTGCTGCTCCGTGAAAAGGCGGCGGTCACCAGGCAGGCAGCGGGGAGAGAACGAGCGAGAGCGGCGCAGCCCTGATTTGTCCAAACTTGCCCTGCCGGTGCTTGCCCGCTGCTCTTTCCGGGGTATCGCTGGGACCGCAAGGAGTCTCTCAGCCTCGGTAAGTTAGCCGTTCTAGGGTTGGAGGAGGCGAGCTTGGAAAACGGCAGCCGGCTTGCCCTTCCGTGTTCCCTGGATTGATTTCGACCTATAATAAGTGAACCCGGGATAGTATCTGTACTCGGGTTTGCGGAACTGATTTCTAAACGAAGATGGGTGTTCTGATCCCCTCAGGCAGCGTCAGCCCTTGGTAGCTTGATAACCGACGACCCGACCAACACAGACACGATTTTAAATGTTCGACCCTGTCGCGTGCGCCAACACGAGCATTTTTTACTCTAGGGAAGGAGCAGGGGCTCCGATTCGGATCGGACCGCACCCTCCCCCGAGCTCGCGTCCGGATCCTGGCCCGTGTGCCCGCTCTGGAGCAAAGGAAAACGGCGTGGTTGCTAGGCGGACATTTCTGCCCTATTTGTTGTGCCCTCCAGGCTGGGATTAGTAAATTGTTCTATCCGTTTTCCCAGCGAAACTCATTAGCATGCTAGCTCTCCGGGGGAGAAAAAGGTCTGTTCTCCTATTTTTCTTCCTCCTCCACCAGGGTCTTTACAAGCAGATTATGATTATTATTATGATTATTATTATTACATTTTTATACTGCCCATAGCCAAAGCTCTCTAGGCAGTTGACAAATTTAGAAGACAGGGCCCTTTAAAGACACACACGCACTTTATATTGTACATAAATTAGCATATGGAAATTGGTGTATTTCAGACTCAGTTATTTCATTATTCAGGCCGCTGGGACTTAGCTAAAGAAACTCAGCTCAAATTTGTCAGGAGTTAGTGGGTATAATTTCAAATGGTTAAGGCTGGTCTTTGACTTTCATCTCCATGTCCATGCATTACCTTTCTTTTGGGTTTGTATATTTTTGGATCCCAGATTGGCACTGTCTTAATGGAAGGTGTGTACATAGTAATATATAGGCTAGTTTTAAATGCTGTTTTGTTGTTTTGGCCTGTCCTACAGATTACTTGCATTCCCTGTTATTTCCTTCTCCCCTATTACTTATTCTAAATAAATCGCATCTGTCTCAAAGTTTGGGTGTGACTTATTCCAGTTAAGCTTCAGTACTAAAGCCAGAGCCTTCTGCTTGACTTTGCTATTTCACATTGCAAGTTTCAGACTTAAAATAGAGGGTGCCTGCTTGCACCCCATTACTATGCCTTATGAGTGCCCTGAAAGGTCCGAGAGTCTGCTGGCTCAGGCTTAGGTAGACTTGAAGGGTAGTGGCAGTTACTCAGCCTGAATAACTGTTTGCCACTGTCATTGCAGATATTTGGGCAACCAACCTCTCACTGACAACCCGGAGTTATCCATGGATGTTGGTAGTGACAGCTACAGGCTGTGCTCCTCTGGAGACTGGTTGCTGGGGAACACTGTTCCCAGAGGCATCTGGTTGCCTACTGTGGGAACAGAATGCACAACAGCTTGGGTCTTTGGACTGATCCCTCACTTCCATTTTTATATTCTAATTTTCAAATTGTGGATAGCCTTATGGGTAACAAGTTCTTTGAAATGTGGTGATTCCAGATTTCCTGAGGGTGATTTGATTCTCCTTCCAAACTGGTAGAGAAGAAAGGTGGGAAGACAACTAGAGGTATTTTGCTTTAAACACACACACACACACACACACACACACACACACACACACACACACACACACCATGCTTTCTAAAGAATCAAGGTATGAAATAAGCAATCGGGAAGGGAGGGGTTTGGGACCATGGTTGCTTCTAGATAGAGAGCTCCTAGCACTGTCAGTCAAAGACGCACAGTGCAGCTGTTTCATCTTTTCCACCTTAATGGTCTTCTGGTTAGAAAAAAGATGGACAAAACACTGGGAAAGCATGAGAGGGTTACAAATGGAAGACTGGTGTCTGGATCCATGGCACAATTCCATGAATGATGCAGGACAATAGCACAATGAAAAGCCTCATCTGGAAGTAATATCTGTACGACTAGGAGACATAACAGTGAGTTAGCTATGCAACCCCAAACTATCTGAAAGTGTGGGTTACACACCCATGTCGTAAACTCTCTTCAGCAGTATAGCCATGGTAATTATCTTTGCAGGTTGCTGTAAGTGGGACCTCCAGAATGATAGATGGTTGTAAAACAAGACTGATTATGAGCTAACGGTTGCAACATGTGGCTTTCATGGTCCTACACTCCTTTTTTTCTCATAACAACAACCCTGTGAGGGGAGTTAGGCTGAGAGTGAGTGACTGGCCCAGAGTCACCCAGCAAGCTTCCTGAACAAATGGAGATACAAACCCAAATCTCTTAAACTCTTGTCCAGTATACTAGCCGCCACCACTGCTTCTCTCATGCTACATGTATGTGAGAGATACAGAGAGAGAAGTACTAGTTTTTGTACAGAGTCATTAGCCAGCTATTTCATTTACTACGAATTCCACAGAAAATTGGAAAGTCCATGTGGCATAGTGGTTAGGATCCCGGTTCACTAGAATTTCACTAGTGAAGTTGGCCTACTTGGCCAGGAAGTTTACTGGGTAACTTTGAGCCAGTTCCTATCAGCCTAACCTACCTCTTAGGATAGTTGTGTGAATAAAATGGAGGGGAGGATTGCCTAAACTGCTTTAGGCTTCTTGCTGGAAAAATGGCAGGGTATAAACATGATAAATATAAAACATATCCACAAACAAACCTTCCTCCCCTTTTCAGAGCCACTGGCATTGCCATTCACTGCATTACTTTGTGCTTGTTTTTTAGCATATTAACTTTGCATGTTCCCTCATTTTTTCTGCATTTCTCTGCAATATTTGCTAGATCTTGCATTCAAATCAGGCAGGAAAGAAAGGTGAGGAAGACCTGTCCTGACAATTGCTCTTGTAATTCCCTAGTTCCAGTCTTCTATAATCTATATCTTTCAGTCTTTCTGAAAATCTGCAGTTCTCCAAAGTTTCTCTTGAGAGATTAGGCCAATCAACACAAGAGCTATTCCAGCATTGGGTGCAATGTGGTCTAGTTCTTGCTCTGCCAAAACCCCAGACCAATTATTTGCTGACTACCAGAATGTTACATTTGTTGAAGACCCACTTTGCAGGTCTGTCTGTCATGGAATAGCACCCTGACCACTTGTCCCCAACAGGTCTCAGTCCTCAGAAGAAGCTTCAGAGTTCATGAGTGAGAAGACTCATCCAAGAGTGGACATCCTGAGGCTTCCATCTCACCTGGGCTCCGATCTCCAGAAAGAGCCCTGATTTGGGCTCCAGATGAGGCTGCATTTCTTTCCTCGGGTTCTGAGGACTCGGGCCATGGAATCACTACCCTCCCCTGTCATTCCTAAGATTGCTAAAACATTCCAGGGCCCTTTAAGAGACCATGCCTAAATGGGTATGGAGATGGGGCCAAGCAGCCTAAATCTCAGCCATGGAAAATTCTGTAGGTAGAACACACAAGTGGGCAGGGAGTGTTCTATCGCCCTGTGCATGTGGAGAGCATCTTCCTGGGAGGGGAAGCCTCTTGTTGCCAGTGGAGGATCCCCGTGTGATTTTGCATACTGATTTTCCAGCACTTGAAACTGTGCAGAGTGCCTTTGTGGGGACAAGAGGGACTCCCTTTATCAGAAAGGTGCCCTCCATGTGTAGAGTGCCTTGGAAATGGCAATGGAGGCATGGGAATAGAACTTTCTCTGGCTCCTTGTATGTTTACTGTACACTGTTTTCAGGTGCCTAAATAGGACATTCTTGCAGTAAATACTTCTAGTAGTCAAGCCCTCATTTGGTGCCAGGAAACCCTACTTCCCATTTAGGCATTAGTACTTTTGGAGACATAGTCATTCCCTTAAGCCTCAGTATGGACCTGCACGGAATTCTGCTGGTGATCATTTATTGCGTTTCACTCTTTGTCAGTTGCCTGGAAGAAGCCAATCCCATCTGCTGTCTCAGTCTTTTGGGAATAGGTTGAGGCTGCAGAGGCAACAATGCCTCCAAAGCGCAAGGCCAAAACCCAGGCAGCAGTCAAGGGCAAGAAGGTTAAAGAGGAACCGGAGCTGAAGCCTGACCCAGAGGAAGACAGTTTCCACGCCACCATAGCATCACTGAAGGCGGCTCCAAAGGAGAAGCTCAAAGCCAAAATCGATTCTGCCTGTCACCTGAGCAATGCAAAGGATTCCCAGGTGAGAGTGATGCTGTCTGTCTGAAGTACTAACCTGCATCCTGCCTGTATTAGGTACTGCAAAGTAGCCTACTTGAAAAGATCTGGTATCCCTTCCAAGTCTTTCAGATTTCAACCTCCATCATTGGTGACTGATAGCCATTCTAGCTTAGGCTGATAGGAATTGTAGCCAAAACGTTGGAAGGGTCCATAGTTCTACATGGGCACCCTGACCTTGGTGTACCAAATCTGGCCCACCTGTTTTTCCTTCCATATTGATTCATTTTGGTGGTTGTCTGGCTTTTGTGTAATCCTCTCCACCCTGTTCCTAAGGGTTGCAATGGCTCTTCTAATGCACAGTTACTGGGCAGCAAGAGCTGTAAGCTGCAGCTGGTAAATCTGGTTTTGGTTGTTCTGGCTGCAGCTCCTCCTGCCTCACCCACCTCTGGAAGGTAGGCCTGGGAGCTCCCCCAAACTCAAATGTGTCTTCAGGCAGAAAGACACCCCTACCTTAGAAAAATGATATTGTTTCCTTTTTTGTCTTGTCCAGGGACAGGAGGGTGCAACATGAAAAGAGCACTGAGCACTGCATGGGGACGCTAAAATCTGCAGGCTTTCTGCTTCTTGAAGCTTTTTGACTTTGTGTTTTTTTCTTTGCAGAATTGCTTATCTAAATCACAAGTGATCAGTATAGAAGAGGGGAAGTTAACTAAGCCAGGTGCCTTTTTCCCTTCCTTGTTGCCAGAACCTTGTTAGCTAATAGGAGTTTTCTGGCATCTACTTGATCAGTGTTCCTTTCTTCAAGGAAACTCTGCCAAGGAGGCCTTGCATAGGTCTAGGCAGCAAGTGCTTTTGCTCTGGGCTCTGGAAGACTGTTGGAGATTCCAACCTGAACAGGAATTTATTCTTTTGGATTCTGCCTTGGACTCCAGTTGTGCGGGATTCTTTAGGGCAGCACATAATAACAACAACATATACAATTTTATTTTTCTTTGCTTTATTTATAGCCTGCTTTTCAAGACCATGGTCTTTCTAAGGAGGAAAGAAGCCTAAAAACAATATGAGCCTTTTAATAAAGTCATGCTAAATATAAACAACTTTAAGTGAGACCAGTTTCAGTAGAACAATTGAATAAAACCAACAAAGCCAGTTTCAGGCCCAAGATGTCATCTTGAACAGAGAACATGAGCATTTTGAATTAAAACACTATTACAGGAAGCCATAGACTGGGCCAGCCATATCTTTCTGGACAGGCTGTTCTATTCAATAGGAGCCATCACTGAGAATGCTCTGTCTCTAGTAAACCTTACTGATTTTGTTGTCAGGTCAGTGAGCAGGGCCTGTGAGGATTACTTTAAAGCAGGGACAAGTACATATTGGTGTAATTGTTAAAAATAACAGCTCAGTTATTTAAAATGTATTAAAATAACCTAGGTTCAAACTATTAGTGATTTAAATGTCAAAACCAGCACTTTAAATTGAGCATGGAAATGTACTGACCACAGATTGATATAATATGATCTGATTGTCTAAACCAGGGCTGTGAAGTTGGAGTTAGAAGCAATTCTTAGGTAACTGGAGTCAGAGTTGGTAAAAATGTACTGACTCCAACTCCTAATAAATTTAAATTGCAATATAACTAATACGTTAACATTTCTTATTTCACAGATTTGATTAGCTGATTATTTTCAGGTTATATTTTCAGGATATCTTTTAACAGGTTAGGGTTCTAAAAAGTAGATTGATGATTCATGTATTTCCTATATTGATATAGGAACTGCTCACCAGTTGAAGCCCAGGCCCAATTTAAAATGCTTGTTTTAACATACCAAGCCTTGGTGCTGAAGGAAGTTCAATATGTCTACTCTGTGCCATCTCATTGGTCCCTGTTTGATCAGGTGAATAGATTTGGCTCCAACTGGAGCCCAATGAAACACATCCTGTCTGAAACAGATTGTTGTGGGTTTCTTAAAGTATAGCCATTTTTCACTTGTCTGTTGGGATTGTAGATTTATGAGGACTATGACTGTATGCTGAACCAAACCAACATTGGCCACAACAACAACAAGTTTTACATCATCCAGCTCATCGAGCACAATGGGAACTTCAGCTGCTGGAATCGCTGGGGCCGTGTGGTGAGTATCCTGCCACAGCAGAGCCACTGTGGCCAACGAGTGGGTGTCTCTCTTCTCGACAACACGGTGCGTGCTCAGCATCACTCCAAGATGGCTGCCAGGAGGCATGGGTAACCATAACTGGCCAGCAAGGCCTCACTTCCAGACAAAAATATGGTTGCCAAAAGCTTAATGATCATAAAATAAATCTTTATGTCCTTCATCTCCCAAACAACAGTATATAGAGCCATAACACCCATGTGACCTGAGGAGCTTTTGGCTGACATTGTGTTCCTAGCCATATTTTTTGTTAAATATTCCTTATTCTGGTTGAGGGACATAAGGTGATTGGCCCAGTACTAGTAATGGCTGAAAAACCACTCCCCTGGGAGAGTAGTGAGGGCCAGAACAGACATTACTTTAATTACATATCTAGCAGCTATGTTTTTTTTTTTTAAGAAATTTCTACACCAGTGAAGTCATAGGGCATACAATTCCATTATTAAGGGCTCTCTTAACCCCATGCCAGTGTTCTATTTTTGGATCTGGGACACTGCATTTACTCTTCAGCAAGCAAGCAAACAAAAAGGGGTATAACTGAGAGTTATGCAGTGCTGGGGACTTGAGCCGAGCAACTCGCTCCCAAGTCCACTCAGATTGCGTCAATGACTCAACTCGGACTTGACAGCAATGAGCAAGTGACTCAACTTGTCTCGAGATTTCTACATTTTTTTATGACCGAGTCACTCCAGTGCTTGCCATGTGGCAGGTTATCCTGGAAGCCAGGCACGAACACAGCAGAGGTGGTGGGAGGGAGGCATTTCAAGGGGGTGGGGGTGGGATAGGGAGGGGGTTGCAAGAGGGGGAGGGCAAGTTAAGGCTTCAGCTCTTCTTTTCTGCATGAGCGAGATGGTGGGAGGGAGGGAGGGACAAGGAGGTGGGGCAGAGGGAGGGGTTGCAGCACTGCAAAGGAAAGGCAAGGGGTAGGGTGGGAACATGGGGGGTTACAACTCCCCCACACACGCACACCATTACCAGATTACCACCATCCAGATTGCCTCCACTCTCTCTCCAGTTGTTGATATTGCGTGCTCTTGGCCAAGAAATGTGCACACCTTGGATGGACCAGATTTCAAAAATTAAAATACCATTCCAGAGCTGAGAAGCATCTTTCCTAACAGACCTATTAGTAACTGCTTCTAAATTCATCCGCTTCCCAGGAGATGCCCTAGAAAATGTCCCAGTGTCAAGCAGCAATTAATTCCACCACCTCTAGCCAGGGAATGGTGTTTCTCAGCATGATAGGAAAACCTCTTTTAGCAAATTGTGTGTACAACTGTAAGCAGGCCTAGATTCTGGCACAGAGTAGACTTGGAGGCCAATAATCTGAGATTCAATCCAGACCAACTGGAGCTTTTGTATGTGGCAGCTTCATTTTTCTTGCTGAACTTTGTTCACTGTGTTTGCACTTTCCTTAGAGGTTCAGGTGTTTAATTTGGGGATGCTCTTGGGTTCGTCTTTGTCACTGGCAGCACAGGTTGCCCAAGCCAGGTGCCTTTAATTAGTTTCGGCTAATACGCCAACAGTTATCCTATCTAGACAGGGACAACCTTGTGACAGTTACTCATTATTATTATTATTATTATTATTATTATTATTATTATTATTATTGTTAGAACATTTCTATGCCGCCCCTTGCCAAAGCCTCGGGGCGGCTTACAACACAATAAAATACAATACAATACAAAAATAACAATATAAAATTAAAATTAATAATATAAAATAAATAAAAAATATAAACGATATAAAAGAAGTTATAAAAGCAAAGTTAGGAAAGGAAAGGAAAAAGGAAAGAAGTTGCCCTGGCCAGAAAATAAGTAAATATTGTTAACAATTAAAATGACGTTTAAATAAAAAGGTCTTCACCTGATGCCGAAAAACAAATAACGACGGCGCCAGGCGGACCTCTCTGGGGAGCATATTCCATAGATTGGGCGCCACCGCAGAGAAAGCCCTCCTCTGAGTACCTACCCTCCTAATTTCTTTCACGGAGGGTTCCCGGAGATGGGCCTCTCCCGCAGATCTCAAGGGGCGGTCAGGCATATATGGATGTAAGCGCTCCTTCAGGTAACCAGGTCCCAAGCCGTTTACACTGCTAACCTCCCATCTGGATCATTACAATTCCCCTGCCTAATGTGGCCAGACAGATGGCTAAGAGGGAAAGGGCCTTTTCAGTGGTGACACCCTGATGGAGGAATGCCTACCTTAGAGAGTCTCACCTGTTAGGGTCTTTTTGGTGACAGGTGAAGACTTTTTATTCTCTCAGGTATTAGATGTTTTTAGATCTTTGGACTCTAGTGTTTTTCTGGTGGTCCATTTTCCTGGGTCCTGTGTAGTTTTTTTCTTCACTCTGGTTTTATTGTGGGCTGTTTTAGTATCATTTTACTATGCTTTTGCATATCAATTTTACTTGTAATTATACTCCACTTAGAGAAGTTAGGTTATTGGGTAATCTAAGAATAGAAATAAATAAATGGTGTGTTAACAGGAATGCCAAATTGAGCATTTTGTCACTTTTTTCTGACAAACTTGTGCTCAGTTTTAGAACTGGCTCAAGAAAGACAGGTCAGGAAATACAAGTCTTGGATAGCAAGTATAACATGAATGTGGGATAACAGCTGTCCTAGAAGGGCTGGCTTAGCTACAACATTGATGGGGTAGGAAAGCAGATGCCTTCTTGTTGCAGAATCTTTGGTTCAGGGGTGCCCAGCTTTTGAGCCACCAAATCAGCTCAGCTTCTGCTCAGCACCTTGAGAAGGTTCCACACTAAAAGACAGCCTCGAAATCTAGATAGATGGATGCTTCTTTATCATGTCGACTATGGTTCGGGGAGCTGTTAACCACAGTATCTGGAGGGTCACAGATTGTCTACCTCAGCACTAGGTAATAAAGGCAAGCATTCCTGGGTAAATGTGGTACCCAGTCATTCTCTGCAATCATGAGAAAACTGGGCTTGCAAACTGGAAGGTGGGAGTGCTTTTCAGCTGTTGGTAGACATGCCATTATCCTGTGCTCAGCACCTTTGCCTTCTCTTGTGCTCAAGAAATTTGAGTGCTTAATTCCTCCTCTGCTGGCCCCACAAAAATATATGAACAGGAAATCATTTCAATAAGGGCCTTGTCTTTGCTCTTCTCTTTGCCCAGTGCTGTTCTCTTGTTTGTAGAAGCTTTCTCTAACCCTGTTGCTTGGTTAACACACCACTTGACACTGGAATCTAACAAAAGTTTTTAGTCACTGCCACATTCTCTGCTGCTTTCTTAATCAGTCTGGTTGGAAGCCTTTTAGAATTCTTTTAATTCCAAGAAGAAGCTTTAAATGTGAGCTGTTCTGCTCTGACTGGATTACCAGAAGCTACTCCACATGCTGTCTTGGAGGAGGGACTTCTAATTATGCTAACCCTTTTCACAGGGTTTTTGTTGCGAGGATTAAAATGAAGCTGTGTAAGCTGCCTTGGGTTCCTCACAGGAGGAAAAAGATGGAATATAAACACCATGTTTTTAAATTTATTTGTTCAATTTATACTGCCCCACTAGCCATAGGCTGTCTGGGTAGCTTACAACATGTAAGAAGAAGATGAAGGAAAAGCCAAAGAAATGTTTTCTGTTTCTGATCTGCTGATTCTTTGCTGGCCCTCAGTGAAGCTCTGAGATTGCCGCTCACACTTCTCTTTTTCTCCTCTGAGGTTCAAGTTTCATAAGGTTTCATTTCCCAGAATACCTTGTCATGCTTTGGCAAGGATTCTGCACTTAGGAAATGTGCACTGTACTGAATCACTGGTCATCTGATGCCCTTTTTCCTTTTACTAATTTGCATGCCAGGTGGTTCTCTCCTTCAAGCCTTCTTTGCACACCAAACCCTAAGCGAACCAGTGCCCAGACTCTCCCCATGTGTGGGCATCACATACTCAGGCTGAAGTGACCCGGTGGCTTTTTCTTAATGCAAGCAAGGAGTGACAGGGAACTCTTATATGCCACTTGCTGGCTGGCGCAGCCCCAGATATTTTGCAAACTGAGGGGCAGGACAATATTCCCTACCACCAGCTTCCATGTAGCAAAGCTAACCAGACTGGCAGGTGAATCTGACTTAAGTTCTGGCTGTCTTTACCGGGGAACAGCAGCAGGGTAGCTGAGGGGGTACAGCACAGGCTGTGTGATGCACACCCACTTCTGCCCCCCCCCCCCCCCCCTGTGCTCCCCCCCCCCTCCCCCCCCCCCCCCCCGCCTCTTGCTGCCTCTCCTGATCCCGCAGGATCTGCCCCCAAGAGCGCTGCCTCACTTTGCTTAATGGTAGGCCAGCCCTGCCCACAACTCTGTGGGAAATGAAAAAGATCTTCACCGGATAGCCATGTGCTTTGTTGTGGAAGGAGTTTGAACGTGAATTCAGCAGTGATTCTGAGGAAAGGACTCAGTCTCTCCCTTTTGGCTCCAGTTCCATGCTGATCACTTCCCATGGCTTTTCCTGAATGTAGCCATTAGTTTTGACTGAGCAACGTATTCTAAAAATGCTTGTATTCAGGCATAAGTGCCCAAAGCAAAGATCAATATTGCTTCCAGATGGGCAGCTCTTAGTGCTACCAATCCAAAGACACTGTGCAACTATTCTCTCTCTACCTACTTAGACTGGGAGGGTCAAAGGCAGTGGGAAAGCACAGGAAAGGTTACAAATGGAAGCAGGTACTTCAGAAGTTTGTAAAGCTCCTTAGTTTGTACAACTCCACAGTTATTCTGAGATTCTCATGGGGTTTTTTTTCCTGTTTTTTTTTTTCATTTCACATGGAAGCTTACATGATCCTACTCCTCTCCATTTTCCCCACAACAACCCTGTGAGGTAGGCCAGGCTGAGAGTCAGTGACTGGCTCAAAGTCACCCTGAGCACTTCAGGGATGAGTGAGAACTAGAATCTGGATCTCCCAAATCCCAGTCCAGCACTGTAACCACTTTGCCACACTGGTGCTCTTTTGTCCTGGTCAGGCAGACTTAGTTGGGAAGATCATTCCATAATGGAGGGAACCACCACCAAGAGGGCTCTGCCTTCCCTTCTGAGCTTCCCTGGAAGGGAGGCTGAGATTATCAACGTAACATATAGGCAGGTTCACACTGGGAAAGGCACTCCCAATGTGTGTGATCCCGCACATATCAGACTTTATAGGACAAAACCATTACCTTGAATCCGGCTCAGAAGCATATAGGCAGCTCGCACAAGAGGGCCAAAATCAATCTTGTCCTCCGCTTGGGTATGGGATTATAAATGCTCAAAAGCTTCAACTGTTTTTGTTGTCCTGTAAAAGCCTCTTGGCAACATCCAAGTGATAAGTGTGTGTACTTCCAGACCCCAGTTGCTAAGGATCTAAATTAAGTTTTCCGTTTGGAGCCACTTCCCATTTATTACAGTTAATATTTGCTCAGACATCAAGAGAAATTCACTGCAGTATAATCTACTTTATTTGTTCCAAGTATATACTGTCCCATAGCCCGTTGGCTCTCTGGGTGGTTTACAAATATTAAAATCATAAATACAATTCATAAAAACACAAAAAACCAGTAGACTCATAAAATACTATAAGACTAAAACCATATAACAAATGATAACCATAAGAGAACAACAGCCATGCACAGCAGGAATTTATAAACAATTTTTAAAAACTGGCTTAGCAATAAAACACACATAATTAACTATTTAAATATTTAGAAAATAAAAAGAGTTTTACCTAGCACCAAAAAGAGATCAGGGACGGCACCAGACACACCTCACTGGGAACATGTTCCAGAAATGGGGTGCCACTACTGAGAAGCCTCTTCTCCTAGTTGCCACCCCCTTACTTTCAACGTCCTTCTCCCCACTTCCACCACACAGCTTGATTTGATGCTACTTGCTTGGCTCCATGTTTTCAAACTAATTACAGCTGGGCTGCCGAAGGGTTTGGATCTACAAAGAGTGTTGGCTCATAGGCTCAGGACAACCTGTGAGGGGAGAATGGCTGCCTGCATGCTCAGAAAAGCTTTGACATCGGCAATAAAATCATTTGCCTGATATGTCAAGAAGCTCTGCCCCTGCGATTTCCACGCTATCTGCCCTGCCTCCCTTTAACTTTAATTCTTAAGATATTTTAGAACAATAAAATAAAAAGACTGTCATGCCACAAAGTAAAGTGCTGCTCTCCAGCGCCATCTTCATTTGTGTACAAAAGAATGTTTCTTGAAGCTTGGGCCCCACCTTTGACTCGTACTTAGGTTCTTGTATTTTTCTTTTAGTCTCACCAGCTTGTCTTCTGGGAAATGAGGGTGTTGTGGTCGGTTATGCCTATCATTGGGTGAATGGGCCTGGGCCTGCCCACAGCAGCCACTTTGTGAGAGCACCTGTGACAATCCCAAAATTTCAGCTGTGCCTACTAACCCCAAATATTGGGAAGCCCTGCTCTGCTGGCTTGGCCTGTTTGTGCAATTCAGAAGAGTTGACCTTGTGATAGGCCCAGTCGCTTAAAGATTGATTTTGGGTTATGTAAAGAGGATGAAAGCTAAACACATCCATGCAGGGACTGGTGTGAGGTTGTTAGGGAAGTTAATGAATCTTAAGGAAAATCTTAAAGTGTGCTTATTAGGCAACACAATAGGACTTATTTCTGACCAAAGAGAAATTAAATTGTGCAGTTAATGTAATTAAAACTTGGGTGGCAGCAGATAATTTCTGCCTAAAAGGTCTTGCGGATGAAACAGCAAGCCGCTAGCACTGATTTTTTAAAAATCAAATAACATTGAGAAGAATTGGTAGGTGATGGAAGGCAAGCAAATGTACGCTCCAAAAATCAAGGTCCACATGACTGACATTTGTTATATTATTTTGGTATCTTTTAGATAAATATTTTATAATAAAGATATATTTGCCAGAAAGGAAATAAAAATGATAGAAGTTTAGATTTGGTCACAGAAGGACCCCCTTCCCCAAAGGGAGGAGAACGGGAGTGCTACAGACTTCCCCAGCCTGTGATCCTCTGAATGATTTGGAGAATGACCCCCACCATTACTCACCATTGATCATGCTGGCTGGGGCTGACAGGAGTTGACGTCCAAAACGTCTGGAGGACAGTGGGCTGGGGAAAGCAGGAATGCGGGAATAATCGTTGCTTCACTGGTGACAGTGTGTCAAGAAGCCTGCTTGCACAGTTATGTGTGACGCACCAGCCTGAAACCTTCTGCAACAGTTCTCTCTGGCATGGGTTCATCTTATTTAGGCCACAGCATTGTGTTCTCATTGGGCCGTTCTTGAAGAGCGTCCAGAAGCTTCATTTGGGGTTAAAGTGTGGCAATGGGGCTGGTGCACAGTGGCAAGAGCACATTACACCTGTTCCGAACAGCTTGCCCTGGTTCAGTTCAAGGTGCAATTCAAGGAGTTGGCCTTAAGTTGCATGTCCCTGTTGTGATTAACAGAAGACCCCAAACTTGACTGACAGAGATGATCTGTGCCTGCCGATCCTGCCGCCCTGCATTTTTGCTAGACAGACCTTTTTACCCATCTAGCAAAACTATTTCAGAGGGGGTGGGAAAGGGATTGTTTCCTGGCCTATCCAGTCCCCTCCCCTCCCACTGAAATGCCCCTTTCCCTCCTCCACAGAGCTGCACTTCCCATCTCAGAGGAGCAGCCAGCACAGTTCGCTCTGCACCAGCCAGATTTCCCCCTCCAAGGTTGACGCATTGCCTTCAGCCTTGGGTCTGGGGATCCAGAGAAACTGCGACCCCTTTAGTGCTGAGCAGAGGCAGCAGACCTGCTCCCTCTCTGGCTTATGACCTATCAAGGGAATCTCTTACCTTGCTCTGACCTTGTCTGGGTATTAAGTTCTGCAGGAGAGGCCTTGGGAGTATGCCGTTATCTGCAGAGGCCCAGTGGTCACTCCCATCTGAAGGGACATTCTCCTGTGATTGCTCTAAAACTGCAGAATGTCTTCCTTAAGAATGGTAATTGGTTAGTTGGTCTCTACGTTCTCAGATTCTGGAAAGGTGTACAGACACAGCTTTTCAATTTGATAATGTCTGAAGGATCATAGGTAAGTGGGCATTGCTGCCCTGAAGTTGGAAGACAATACTCTTTCCCTGGAAGGAGGAGTTGGGGGCCTATCCTCCACCATCTTGCAGCTGGCATGGAAAGAACCATGCAGGGTCTGAAAATTTACCTCAGAGAGGGCGAAAGGGGCCTTTTTGGTGGGCATGGAGTCGGGGAGACTGGGCAGGCCAGGTCAGCACTCTCCTGAGGCTCTTCCAGACTCCTCTCTCCTCCAAGTGCTGTTGCTAGAAGGGGCACAAGAGTCCTCCTAGCAAAAAAGGCAACGTTCTGAGGATGAGGCGGCAAAGGTCACCTCCACCGCTTCTTCCACCCTGTTGGCTTTAGTCCGGCAGGGCTTTGGATGCAAGGCTTCCATCTTGTAAGAGTACAAATTCCTTTCACCTTTTAAAATCTATACCCTCATGTTTTAATGTACTTACCATTTTCAGTGTGCATGATTTAGCTGTTTTATGTTGTTGGACAGCCCATGATGGCTTTTTAGCAAATAAGGCAGTATATAAAGAGGCTAACAGTATGTAAATAAAATCTGGTTAAGGGGGCTGTGCTTGATGTGTAAAAAAGAAGTGGAGCACTGCAAAATTATCATAATGTCCTCAAGTGGAGAGTTGCATGCTTGGCCGTGTTCAGGCCACCCTGAAATGGAAAGCAGGAAGGCCTGATGATGGCACTGCCCATTGGGGCCAGCCTTTCTTCATCGAATGGAAATGGTGCAAAGGGCCCAGGAAGAGAATGCAGGTTCAGGCATTTTACCGATGCATGTTTCCTTTCCTGTTGTTGCTTCCAGGGGGAAGTAGGGCAGTCCAAACTCAGCAGCTTTTCATCCTTGGGAGATGCCAAAAAGGATTTTGAGAAGAAATTTAAGGATAAAACAAAGAACAACTGGGCTGACCGGGAGAACTTTGTAGCTCATGATGGCAAATACACCCTGATTGAGGTGCAACGCGAGGATGAAGAGGAGCAAGAATTTATCGCGAAGGTAAATGGCCAAGAAATACAGTGGGTGCAAAGCAAACCAGGTAGTGGCCTTGTGCATCAATTTACCATACTAACACACGCACACACAATTTAGTCTAATCTGTTTAAACTACTTGCTTCTTTGAAACAATAAGATGAAATTAACCACACCATTCTGTACATGTCCACTCAGAAGTTGAGTTCAGTAGGTCCCATTGAGTTCAATGCAGTTTATTCCCTATGAATAAAAAAGGATTGTGGCATAGGCATTCATTTTAAAAATTATGATCAGGACAGCAGCTGGTCTTGGATTATGTTGTCCACTGAGACCTTTCGATGCTTGATCACTACTTTGGTCCTCTAAGTCTGTGTCAGTTGCAGTCGTCCCTTCACAGTGCAGGGCCTCAGATCTCCTCTTATGGCATGATCCCTGCAGTGTTACAGAGCTTTTCGTGGGTTTCCTGCAAGTTTGCAGGGTGTGTGGGAGAGGGAGAGGGAGAGGGGGAGGGAGGGAGGCAGTGGGGAGCCGGAGAGCATGTGCGGCAGGCACGGATGTGCAACTCTAGCAACCTGTGTGAGGGTTGGTGGGGTGACTGGGACCCAGTAGGTCCATGTGCCACTCCGCCCTTTGCATGCGTACTCAGAAGTAACTCCTGCTATGTTCAGGGATGCTTAGTACAACCCATAGGTGCGTTTTCTTGTGCATATGAGATTCTGTGCTGGTCCGTGAGAAAGACTCTGAACTACGTGTGAATCCAGAACCAACTGGAGGTTTTCTGTCTTCAAGGTGGAGACTGTCGATGGAGTGAAGCTGACAAAGGAAAGGATACGGCCCTGCACCTTGGACAAACCTACCCAGGAACTTGTCTCTCTCATCTTCAGTAATGACATGTTTAAAGAAGCCATGCAGACCATGAATATAGGTAAAGGATGGAAAATATTGGCATGTACAGTTCTAGCAGCATAAAGCCAAAGCCTGTGCTTGACCCCATGGATGCTGCAGCAGGGGGCTCCCCGGGGGTCAGTTTTGCCCCCCATACAAGGATCTGCTTCTTACAACATCTGCACGCAGGGTCACCTGGAGTCAGGATCCAGGGTTATTGGAGTCATCAGTATGCTGATGGCATGCAGCTCTTCTATTCCTTTTCCTTATTTTCCATCAGATGCAGCTGTGGATATGCTAAATGAGTGCTTGGCTATGCCAACGGACAGCTGAACTTCAATCCAGGGAAGACTGAGATGCAGTTAACAGATGAGCAGATGGAGGGTGTTTGGGCTGTTCTGGATGGGAATGCCCTTCCCTTGAAGGGTCATAGCTTGGAGGTGCTCCTGAAGCCATGTCTGTCACTTGAGGCTCAGGCAGGCTCACTGGCAGGGAGTGCCTCCCACCAGCTATGCCCTTCCTGGTCAGGACCAGCCTCTGTGTCAGTACCCTCTGTGTTAAATGATTGCAGTGCTTTCTGTGGGGAGCTGCTCCTGAAGAGTGCACAAAAGGCAGCAGCCAGCTGATAAATGGGACCAGAAGGTCCAAACATGGACCCCCAGTAGTGGCCCACTTGCACTGGCAGCCTGAATGCTTCTGAGCCTGTTTGGAGGTGCTTGTTTTAACCTGCATGACTTGGGAGTGCTCTTTCCCACTCCCAGTCTGAATCTGCCGGCTCACAGCACTCAGTAGCTGAGGCCTTCCTCCAAGATCCACTTCCAGGGAGAGGCTTGAAGGATGGCAGCAAGGACATGGAACTTCTCAGTGGGCATTGTTCTGACAGTGGAATGATCTCCCCACCGAAAGGTTAAGGTACCACTCTTTGCCAGAACATTTAAATGGCATTTAAGTTTTTGACTGTTTTATACTGGAAAAAATATGCTGCTTTTACTGCATTATTTTACTGCATCATGTTTTTATGAACTGGAGTGAATTACTCAGAGAGCTTTGACGATTGGGCAGTATAGCAGTGAAATTAGAGAAGAGACGAGACCAGTTAGTGGGGGGCCAAAGGGGAGCTGAGGGGGCCAAACCACCAGTAGTTATGAGATTCAGTACTTTAGTTCTTCATCACAACTGAAAAGGACAAACTGCGAAAAAGCAAGCGGTGTACCAGTTGAAGAGTCCAAGGTGGAGAAGAGCCTTGGAATGGACCAGGTGGTAGCATTCTCATCCAGGTGGCCTCAGCCATTCATTCACTGAATCCTTGCAAGTCCAAAGTCTTCAGACTGATCTGTGCTGGGTTTGTGCTCCTGCCAGATGTGAAGAAGATGCCTCTGGGGAAGCTGAGCAAACAGCAGATTGCCAAAGGCTTTGAAGCTCTGGAGGCCATTGAGGCAGCCCTGAAGAAGCAGCCTCCTTCCCAGAAGGAGTTGCAGGATCTTTCCTCTCGCTTCTATACCATCATCCCTCACAACTTCGGTCGTTCTCGGCCTCCGCCCATTGACACACAAGAGATTGTCCAGGCGAAGAAAGACATGCTGCTGGTGAGTAGCTCGGAGCACCTGACCAATCCGTGCTTTGAAGCAAGAGAAATTTCCGTGCTAAGAAGCACTCTGCGAAGAGTTTTGTACAGCTAAGCCCTAAGGGCTCGTCTGCACATCTGAGAAGCACCCGCATGGCCAGAAATGCGTCGCATTCTCTGATTTGCCTCCCGGGAGCAACAGGTGTTCTCTGGGGGCTCCCAAGCTGTCCAGTGAAACCTGGGAAACAGGAAGAGGGTGTCACACACTTCAGGTATGAGTATGTGGCTGATGAGTCACAGCGCATTTCTGGAGAATCCTTTGGAATGGTACCCTGTAGGCCCATGAGTAGCACTTGCTTAGCTCCATGCTCCACAGTCATCTTCTACTAGTGCTAAGCTAGAAGGCTGCATTTCTCTGAAAGAGGAATATTAATGGGAATATTTGCAGCAGTTGGAGCATGCAAGAGCCTGGTGGTGGTTTGTCATGAAATGATGGCAAACAGGAAGGCTATGTAGTGGCTGAAGTGTATAGCCTGAGAGCCACAAAACTGCAGCCAGCAACTAAGTCTAGCTGGGCACAGTCCTATGGGTTGCATGTTCACTGCTTGGAAGCCTCCTAACTTGGGTTCTTGTGAGATTCCAGCAGAGGCAATCTTTGACCCCCACTTCTGAACTTTGTGGCGAGGCGGAGGGGTTGTATTTTTTGCTAGATGGGCTTATCAGCTTCAGAGCAAGAGGAAAGAAAGCTCGGAATGAATCATATCCATTTCTCCTGGGCTTCCTCCTTGCTCCACCCACCAGTCAATTTTCCAACCTTGGAGGGGAAGCCACGTGTTCTTTCCATGTTGGCCGCAGGGAGGTGGGTTGGGAGGGAGGTCAGATCTGCGGCTGCTCCTCTGGAGGCTGGAGCAGCGCCTCCAACCTCAGAGGGGAGAATTGCAGCCATCCTGCAGTCCCTGCAGTGCTCATCCAGGAAGCAGAGGATCGCTTTTAAGGTGGGGTGCATAACCTTTCTGGTCCCAAGGGCTGTCTCAGGGGTCTTCCAGGGTGAGGAAGGGTGGACCACACACATGTACACTCATGTTCAAGTTGTTCATGCTCTTCTCCCTCCTCCCCTTTCACTCATGCTGCCCATTAGCAGCCAAAAGTGTGTGTGTGGGGGGGGATGTCTAGAAATGGCTCCTGCAACTTTCCTCCGAGATGCAGGAAGGAACTTGCAAGCACTGCTTCCTTGGATGCTCCAAGATTGTGGTTCCTGCCCTGTGCAGGAACTAGGCAGCTTGTTTCTAGAAGCTTTTCTTCTCTCCTTTGCCCATTTTTCCCCCAGTGGTTGCAGATGCCAGGATGCCCCACCACTTGTGGGGGTGCAAATTTTGCATTCCTGATTTAAGGAGACAAAACTACAGTCCCGAGTCTCCAGCTAGGATGCAATCTTCTACCCAGATAATATTCTGCTGTTTTACTGAACAACACTCAAAAGGGGCGGGTGGCGGCGGCGGGGGGAAGCTTTGTTTCTCACCAAAAGAACAGTCACCAAAGCTGGGGTGACTGAGAGTGCCATCTGCAGCTTATTTATTCAGAGGTAAAGTTCTTGGCTTTAAGTCTAAGTCGGTGTGCGTGGGATTGCAGCCCGAGGGTCAGGCCAGGCCCTGCCCGCATGCTCATGCAGTCTGGTGGGTCTTCTTGTTAGGTCCTAGCAGATATTGAGCTGGCCCAGAGTTTACAGACCCAGAAGAAGAAGGAAGAGGAAGAGGAAGAGGAAATGAAGGTGGAAGAAGTCCCGCATCCACTGGACAAGGACTATGGGCTCTTGAAGTGTGAGCTCACCCTGGTGGACCCTTCATCTGAAGATCATAAGGTATGGCCCTGCATCATAAGGTATGATCCTGCTCCCTTTGTCTGCGGGGCAGGGAAGGAAAAAGTGCGAGGCAGTAGTGAAGAGGCACAGCACATCAGATTGCCCAAATGCTGATTTATTCTTCCACCCATTTGTCTTGTTGCCTCGGCGCACTAATGATCCTTCTTTCCTTCCTTTCTCTTCCCATTTTCCCATTAGCTGATTGAAACCTACATAGAGAAGACAAATGGGCAAAAGCTTAAAGTCCTGAATATTTGGAAGGTGAACAGGGAGGGTGAGGTAAGGCCAAGTGGCAGTGCCCTTCTCTTCTTGTTCTGCTCAGTGATTGAGTCAGCACACCTCTCTGCAGTCTGAAACTTGCTTTGCTCTCGGGTGAAACTGTCCCAGCACAAATTCCCGAAGGAGAACTAAACCCAGGTTAGACAGTGCAGCCCCGAGGGCCCTGCTTTATCTCCCCTGGGGTGTGCAAGGCGATGAATTTTTCCTGCTGCTGTGAAGTCCTCCAAGATCCTGGGGTAATGAGGACCAAACATGCCCTTCTTGGTGAGTGATAACCAGGCCGGTGGCTTTCCTTTTTTTCTCTCGAAGGTGTATGAGAAAGAACATATGTTATTAGCCGTACATGATCCATAGCTGCCCCCTGGGTGGCTGGCTAGTTGCAGTGTGATATACGCAGTCCATGGTCAGCTCCTGCAGCAAACGTTTTCCTGTGCCCAAGCATAAAATCGCACCGCCTGCGTGCCATTCATGCTCTCCTCTGTATCCCCACCCCGAGCAGGACAGCCGTTTCCTGACGCACAGCCACCTGGAGAACAGGCGCCTGCTGTGGCATGGCACCAACATTGCGGTCATAGCTGCCATCCTGAAGAGCGGCCTGCGCATCATGCCGCACTCGGGCGGGCGTGTGGGCAAGGGCCTCTACTTCGCATCTGAGAACAGCAAATCAGCAGGATACGGTGAGACAACTCTCTGCTCCGTTGGGCTGGGGAAAAGACTTTTCCCTGTCGTTTGGTGTCTGCCGCTTTCTTCTCTTTTGTGGCCCTCCTCTGCAACTGCTCTGGCAGCCTGGCAGCAGCAAGGGGGTGAGGGAAGTACCATGAGGAGCACTGTCCCTCTTTTCTAGCTGTGGACACCGTAATGCAGCTTTCCCGAAGCTGCCCCAAGCCGTGGTCGGAACAGAAGGGAGTTGAACTCTAAAGCACTCGGAGGGCACCAGTCTGAAGGCCATGTTGAAATGCTTTCAAAAGTGCCCATGGCTGTTCTGGATTGCTTTATCTCTCTCAAAAAGAAAGGCAAAACTGAGATGTGTGCATTGTTATTAACTGTGCTCACTAAGAGATCCTGGCTATGGGTCTCCTTCCAGTGCTCCCTGCCAGGATTTGAACATTATAAACCGGATAGTGCGCCTTGGCGCTTTTATTGAAGGGTGAAAAACTATTGGTGCATTTAGGGGTTACCTTCAAGCATGGCTTTGCCTCAGCTGACAGCACTTCTGCTCAGAGACGGAGAGACGCTCAGTTTCTGTTGATCCCTCCTAAGGAGTCATTCCCTCCCGTGCCCCCAACCTTGTTCCCATCAGCTGGGGAGACCCTCCAGGATAGGGTAAGCGCACAGGATAAGCACACACGGCTGCAGCAGTTAGGGGAGTATCAGCAAATAGGGTAAAGAAGCAGAGCTTGGTGGGCTTAGAGGGCCAGGTAGCAGAATTCTCCCCCCACCCCCACCCCCCTTCACCCAGCACAGTCTCTGCAGGTGGCTTGGCAGGCCCCAGCAATCCTAGCTGAGGCAGTCCAGCAGTGGTCCAGCACACCTGGAGGGGACCAGCTTGGCAAATGGTGATCTAACGCGTACAGGTGTTCCATGTACTTGAAAGCCCCACCTGCCAGTAGCACACCCATTGTCATGTCATGTGATCTCCAGCATGCAGCGTGACTAGGAGGCCAGAAAACACGGCATCCCTTCCTCTCTGTGAATTCCAGATGCTGGGAAAGAGCTGCTTTTCTGTCCTTTCCCAGGGACGTCTTAGTTAGTCTGCTCCTTGAGGAGTTTAGGGCAATGCTGCTCCATGCTCACTTTATTTGCCTCCATCCTATGGACTGAAGGGTTTTGGCAGCAAGGGACCTCTGAGCCATAATCACTTAGGGTGCGATTCTACAAATGTCTGTTTAGACAGAAAAAGGTCCTGCCTTTTTTGCTTAAACATGCATAGGATTGCTTCTCTTGTGATCTTCAAGGGTGAGCAGGAATATGAAGTGAAGCTTTCTCTTTCCTGGGGTGACTCTCTAATGTCATATTTCCAGCAGCTTTCTGCTGAATGTGGCGTAGTGGTTAAACTACAGAGAAGTGAGTTGCCCAAGGCCACCAAATTCATAAAAAGTGTTGGGGGAGGCTCAGCCCCCAAACATAAAGCTTCTGCTTGGGCACAGTCACAACACAATATCCGTTTTAGAGAAGACAAACTACTAAACATCCTGCACCCCTTCAGCTGATTTCACTCCACTCTCAATACTTTCCCCATTCCTTCTGTTAATTCATCCGTCAGTTAATTCAAAAACTTCACAAATTCAGGCTCCCTTCTCTTGCTTTTCTATCAGGATCCTTCCAAATTCGTACTTTGTGATCTCTGTATGCACGTGGGATGCTTGTTTGGGAAGAGTCCAAAGCTAATTAATTAGTGTCTGGCAGGAGTACCTCCTCTTCAGGTGACTCCTGTTTCTGTATGAATTTTCCCTTTGCTTCCCTCCTCACCTCGCCCATGTAAACTGCCGCAAAACCCTGGCAAGTTCTTCTTCCTCTCATAATCTTTGTCCCTCTCTGCCTGCCTTGTATTATGCTCTCCATCTTGGCTTTCTCCAGGCTTTGCCTCCAGCTCACTCCCCTGCTCACCTACTCAAAGCCTCCTGCCTGAGCGTCCAGGCCACGTCCTCTCCACATTGGCTGCCTTGCTCTGAGGCCTCTGCTGGAGCTTCCTTGCACCTGGGGCTCCCTCCCTGATTCAGACTGGAGGCTTGGAGGAGGACCATGCAAGGAGGATGGAAGCAGCATCGCCTTTGGAGTCCAGGCACAGCAGTGTGACCTGGCTGTTTTCTTCTAGCTGTCCCAACAAGGAAATCCCAACAGTGTGTTCCTGTGTGCTCCTTCTCCAGCCCCACTCTTTAAAAAAAGTAACACGAATCCTGTTGTGGGACCCCTTATGCTCACTCTGCTAAACATCTCTGCTTTCAACTTTCTCTTCAAAGTGTAGATCTGATGGCCCCACTGCCAAGAGCTTGTGCTTAATTTAAAATGATTACATTTTGAAGGAATGAAGAGCCATACTCAGTGGGACTGAAAATAACACCATCCTTTTCAGGATTTGCCTAGTCTAAAATATCTGGAACTGTTATTCATAAATACATTGGCTTTTCTGATCCCACTGGACTGGGTGCCCATGATTGTGGAGTACAGTGAAGGACATGTACAGAGTGTATATGGAACTCCAACACTGAGCTCCGAAAGTTAAGTTAGTAGGACTCCCAGTAAGCACTGATACTGGTCTGTGTAAGACGGCCTTCTCCAAACCAGTGCTCTCCAGAAATTTTGGAGCACAGTTCCCAGGATCCTTGACCTTTGACCATGTTGTCTGGGACTGTTGGGATTGCACTGGGATGGAGAAGTAGGGTGTGAGGGTTTACCCAATTTATCCAAATCGGGTACACAGGAACATAAATCCAGACCACAAAAAGGAACTAGTTTAACTCCATTTTATTGATCGTATGGCAGACTTACCCACAAAACTGCAGTGCAGTGCAGTTGTCCACATGGTCACAGTCACAACAGGCAACTAAGCAATTGTGGTTCTCTTCAACCTAAATTTATACCTTCTGTAAAGGGAATGGGCAGTTCTCTGATCTTCAGTTGGAAATGAGTCCTAAAATCTTTCCAGTCGATTAAGGGCAAAGTTTCAATGAGGAAACAGCTAGACCAGTCCTGGAGACTATTGACAAGAATGACGTTTTTCAAAGCCTAAACTTCTTGATTCTAGCGCAGTTTGCTTAAGTTGTGTTGATTGTGTTGACGAGTTCATTTGCTTGGCTTCCATTTTGCCCACCCCTAGCCATAAACAACAGGGCCTCATTCTCTCTCTCTCCCCCCCCCACCCCGCAGTGGGCACCACCTCTAATCGCGTGGGGATCATGTTCCTCAATGAGATTGCTTTGGGCAAAGAGCATCGCATTCTTCAGGATGACTGTTCACTATGCAAGCCCCCAGATGGTTACGATAGTGTTCTAGCCTGTGGCAGGACTGAGCCGGGTAAGTCTGAAGGCGGAGAGCCAGGGAGAGGGAAAGAACTGCTTGCACCCTGTTAAAGACATGCTAACCTCTTGCTTTCCCTACTTCTGGTCTACCTTGTTATCTCCAGACCCCAAATATGATAAAGAGCTAATCCTGGATGGAAAGAAAGTGCTGATATCCCAAGGAAAGCCCATTCCTATGGCTAAGTACAAGAACTCCTGCTTCTGGCAGAGCGAGTACCTTATCTATCAGGAGAGTCAATGCCGCATTCGCTACCTTGTCCAGCTCCGCTTCTGAAGCATTTCTCCATCCTGCTGAGGCCCACCTATTTACTGCCACGGGCTTTGTCTTTCTGACACTGAATGTGGGCAAGTGCGAGTGCCTTGCTTAGTCGACTGTGCTTCCCAGCCGCCCATTGATGGCTCTTTGAGGAATTCTGGGAACCCTACCAGTCGAAGAGGGAGACATCCACCCAGCTTGCTCTGAGCACCACGCTGGGCTCCATAAGGCAAGCAAGTGCCACTTTATGACAACCCGCAAGGCAAAGATTATGTAGGGGCCCAGCTTGTGCTCCAGAGGAAACCTTGATGAGGGGCTCAGCCTTTTCAGACACACTTTGGATTTCTGTATTCTGTAATTAAAATTATTCTGTATTCTGTAAATAAAAAGATGTGTGTTATGCCCACCAAATGTCTTTCCTTCCCTGTGCTTTCTGCATGGGCACATCTCACTGTATCTACTAAGAAATCTGCTAGGTTGGCCTGCACATCATAGATGTTAAAGAAAGGAGATGCTAAATGAACCACTTAATGGAAAGTCAGACTTGAAGGCTGCGGCTGAGTACAAATCTGAATCTGAATAACCTCTATCTATCTATCTATCTATCTATCTATCTATCTATCTATCTATCATTTTTTATTTATATCCTGCCCTTTTCCTACAAAGGGCTCAAGGCAGCTTACATCTCCTCCTCCATCTTATCCCCACAACAACCCTGTGAGGTAGGTTGGGCTGAGAGTGTGACTGGCCCAAAGTCACCCAGTTGGCTCCATGGCTGAGCGGGGACTAGAACCCAGGTTGCCTGAGTCCCAGTCCCATGCTCTTAACTACTACACCACACTGGCTCTCACACCACACTGGCTTGTATTAATACCCTACCTTTCTTCCATTCTAGGCTATCAATGTGGTTCCCAGGTGGTCTCCCCTCCAAGCTCAGACCAGCCCCGGACCTGCTTACCTTCAATATGGTAGATGCTTTATGTGCCTTCAAACCATACATCTACATGAAGGCTAGGTTCAGACAGTGCAACAACCCATGTTCAAGGGATGAGTGTGGGTTGTTAAACTTTGCATTGTTGTTAAAATGTGAGTTGTGCTGTCTGGGGTAACAAATCATGGTGAACAACCCAGAGTTCCCAAGCAAACTACAAACCATGGGTTGTTCATGGTTAATAAGCCATAGCTCATTCATGCAACTGGATTCAGACATGATTAACCCATTTCAGCGGCAAGCCACGCTCAATCCATGCCCAGCGCTTGAGTGTTGTTCGAATTGGTCATGGTGTCCTCAGCCTGCCTCCTAAAATGTCCATGATGCACTATTCTTTGCATACTTTTTATGTGCCCTGAAATAAAATAGTATGTTTCCCTGTGGGAAGCTTCTGTGGCAGAAGGAAGGAAGGAAGGAAGGAAGGAAGGAAGGAAGGAAGGAAGGAAGGAAGGACTGGGGTGGATTTTTGTTGAATTCCCCCCTCTTGTCTACACCTTTTGGGAGGTGCTGTTGCCTGTGCCTAAAGAGGACCATGAGAGTGAGGGCTGTGCTTCGGTGGTGGAGAGAGGGAGGCGGCTGTGCAGCGCAGCCTCTGATGCCAGGGCATTCACTGCCACTGTTGAATGAGGGCAGCCAGCATCGCTGTCTCTTTCCCATCTGGGTGTGGGTGGATCGTACAAGCATCTGTCTCTGCTGGGAGACCTGAAGAATTATGCCGTGGTTTATTTTTGTCTAGTTACGTAACCTAGAGGTTGTGTGCAGACTTGGACTTGGCTAGCAGGTGGTCATTTAGGGGCTGAAGGGTACTCATACCTGGCATACCACTTTAAAAAACAAAAACAAAAAAATCCTTACATTTAGGAAGAGATTATTATTGCTACTACAACTACATTACATTTCTATACTGCTCATAGAGGAAGCTCTCTGGGCGGTTCACAACATTTAAGTCACCCATCCAGCTTTCAACCAGACCCAACCCTGCTTAGCTTCCAAGATTAGGCAGGATCAGACTGGACCCCTCCCCCTCCCCCTCCCCCCCACCCCCCCACACACACCTTCCTGGTTTGGAAGAGGAGCTATCAACAGTTAGGGTCAGTCTGTGGCAAAGGTTCACATTTCCTCCATCACTGCTGCTATATTGCCTCCCCTACTCGAAGCCTGATTTTTATTTCTTATTTCCCCAGCTAAACGGTCTTCAGTTAAAATCATGCAGCAGGTGAAAATGTCTATAATTCTATCACAAAATTAAGTATTAGTTACCTTCAGCTCCCTAAAGGGCTCCCAAGGTGGAAAGCCCATTGAAACATGCAGTGATATCCTGATAACATAGTGAGGGTGCAGTCTGTCTAGGCAGCCATGGGGAAAGTTGGCATGCCAGCACCAACAGGGGAGACCCCTTTGGAGGGGGGACCCTCGGGCTCACCCAGTTCTCGCCTTGCCTTCTGTGACTGTTTGGTGGGGGGTAACCTCAGAGTTAAGGGAGCCAGGAGGGGAGGAGTGAGGCATTGCTGAGCCGTGCTGGATCGGCCTGGCTCATCCTCGCCCGCTCTTCCTTACAGGCAGGAGCAGAACACTTGGACGGCCAAGACATGCTGTCTCAGTGTTTTGCAGCACGGGAGAAGTACCAGGGAGACCTTGGCCTCCACGCTCCTGACCTGAATAAGATGTCCATCATCCACATTTGGAGGCAGCTGCATTGGATCGTTTTGCCCATAAAACAGGAAGAGAAAAAAGTTCTTAAAATGGAGGAGTGAATTGTGTTTAAACTCATGAAAACACCACGTGGAAAAGAAGAGTTTAAATGGCCCACAATAAATTGAATGAGGAAGGAGCCAATCTAATCTCCCCCAATAAGAAATGCATTATTTACAATTAGTTTGTATAATTAGGTTTTAGAATGTGGACTTTTTTCCCTTTCAGAATCCTGCTCATATTCCTGCACACATTTTTCTCAAAGGAAAACCCTGTTAGTGCAAATGTCATCATGAGATGTTTCTGCCTAGCGGTTGTCTCACCCAGGAGATCCTTGGTTTGCCAAGAACACGTATAGAAACCTGGTGTCACTTGTCTTAGCTTGAGTATGTATGCAGCCTGCACCCTCCTGGATGTTTGTGCACATGTGTAGACCCCAGACTCCTGCAGATACTGGACGTGGCCCTTGGGTCTGAACAGCCATTGTACCCCTGCCTTAGATGGGTCTAGAGAAGTTGATTTCCATTTCTGACCTTCATTCAGCTAACAGGAAATGCAGGCTAAAAGCCAGGCAAGGATCTGGTTTGCTCTCACCTCAAGCTACTCAGTGGATGCACTCTAGGGTTTTTCCTGGTTTTTCTTTTTCAAGGTTGAATGAATTTTATTTTTGCAAGTTTGCTAGAGGCAGATAATCTCTTCTTATCTAATCTATATATTTATAGCTCCCATCACCATAGTATCACTGTGCCTTTCATATATTTACTGAGGGAAATAACAATTATAGCCCTGTCTATTTTTTTTAACCGTCTGCGTGCTAACTGCCTGAGGGACAAATCGCCAGATTACATTATTGGACTGCTTGTAATTGGTGTGAGTGGATCTGTTGAGAATTGCTGAGTGGCGGTGGCCTGTAATCCGAGCAGTGGGGGGGGGGGGCAGCAGCTGACAAACTTCTGAAGTGGCCCCTTCTCATAAGGAAGTGGCCCCTTCTCACCATGGCCCACTGGGAGCCACTCTCCAGAGTCTTGGGCAGAAGCTTCTTCAAGCACAGCACTGGCTCCCTGAAGCCATTTTTAAGAGAAGAAACGAGCTGCTGACGACTGAAGCTGCAACCTTGCAGGTGCACAACAGATTTTGCTGTGGAACTTGGTTCACCCAGGCTTGTTTAATCTTTTGCAACAGTCCTCTGCAACCTGATGCCCCGCAGAGGTGTTGGTCTACACTGTGCATCATCCCTGGCCTACATGGCTGAGGATGGCTCTGGTTGATGTTGCACAACATCAGGCGGAGCGGCTTGAAGAAGCTGCCTACTTAAAAGGAAGAAAGATCTGTCACAGCTGGAGCTGCACCACAGAGGGGAAGTCATTCATTGGCAATCCTTCGTAGCGCCCAGTTGCAGGAACCCAAAAGGACAGGGAAGAAGTAGGTGGGTTCCTCATATTCGCACCAAATCTAGTCTCCCTTCATATAGAAGGCATGCCTGTGATCAGGCATAGTCAGAGCTAAAATGAGAGCAATACTTCATTGGGTGCCCACATCGGTACCATGACACAGAACAATGATGCTCTCTGTTCTTCGGCAACAACAATAGCGTCTGACAACAGCAAGTGGTGTATCGCCATGGATTGTTTTGTTCCCTCAGAACCATAACCTCACTTGCCCGGCATCAGCGCGACCTTCTAGTAAGCAAACACACCAGCAACACTCTGTTGGCCCATCAGGCATCAGCGGCCGCCCTCGGCCAATACAGTTAGAAGCTTCTCCTCCCAAACAGGCGAGGCTTTTGAGGTGCTGGGCTGTTAAGTTGCTGGGCTAAAGATGCTGGATAAAGTTCATACATCATAAATGGCAGGACCAAGTTCCTATTCTGAAGTCCAAACTGCATTGTGCCAATGAGGCTGAGCTGGCTCTGATCCTCAGGTGTGTTGAACTACAGTTCCTAGGATCCCTGACTATTGGGAAGGTTGGCTGGGGCCAATGGGAGTCATAGTCCAAAATATTTGGAGAGAATCCGCTTGTCTATGTCTGCTGAAAATCAATAGCAATGCATTATTTCCATTGTGCACGCTTCAATTTTGCTGTTTTTAACATATTTTTGCAAGGAGCGATGTAACAAGTTGGCAGGAAGGTGGGTAGGTGGGTGGTTTGGTTTAAAAGGAACACAATTGGCTGCAACACCTAGAGGCTGCTCTATCATAGACCAGCTTTTGTGGCAGCCGCTTCAACAGATGTGCGAAGTCCCCTGAGAACGGGTGTGGACACGCACTTGCAGCTGAATGGAGAGAGAAGGAAAGGAAAGGAAATGAGGAGGCAAGCAGCACAGGCCATTAAGAATACAACACTTAACCTAACCCTTCACTGGAGCATCACACTGAGAATGACTTCTTTTCCGCCAGTGATATTACACTGCTTTTCTGCTCTTACAAGGAACTCTCTCCTCTCCATTTTATCCTCCCAACAGCAACCCTGTGAGGTAGGTTAGGCTGAATCAGTGACTGGCCCAAAGTCACCCAGTGAAGTCCATGGCTGAGTGGGGAACTCCTGAGTCCCAGCCCAGCCCCTCAAGCACGAGGGCCTGCTGCTTTGTTATTCGGACAGGTGCAAATGGAGTTAAATTTTACTTGTCTTGAAACACTCCTTGGATTTAAATTCAAGCATACATGGTGGTGAGTAGGATACATTTGTTTAAATGGCCAGGTTTCTTTACAACTAACAATCAAGCC